TTATAATAAGCCTTTTATAACTATAAGTTATAAGGCTTTATAGGTCTTATAGCTATTAAGGCTTTTTTATAACTATAATCTTATAAAAGCCTAAACCTTTATAAGTTTATTATTATTTTATTACTCTTAAGACTATTATAGTTAATTAGTATACTTAGTATTAGTATAGTACTAGTATAGTATACTTAGTATTAATATAGTATTAGTATAGTATTAGTATAATATACTTAGTACTAGTATAGTACTATTATAATATACTTAGTATTAGTATAGTATTTAGTATAATTTAGCTAGTAGTCTTTTTTATATTCTATAGCCTTTAAGATAAGGTATCTTTATTAAATATAGTTTATAGTATAATTTTTATTTTCTATAAAATTTATTTATATAGGTTTTTAAGTTAAATTACCTTATAAGTAAAAAGTAGAAAATATAATAATTATAAAGCCCCTTATATAATAATAAAGCCCCCTATATAATAGTAAGCTACCCTATACTTAATATAACTATAAGCTACCTTATATTTAGTATAACTATAAACTACCCTATACTTAAAAGAAAAAGGTAACTTAAGTATACTAATAAATACTATTATACCTATTAGTAAGTAGGAGAATTAGGCTACTATTATAGTATATTATAGTAGCTATAGTAGTTATTACTTTTCCTTATAATTATTATTTTATTCTTTATAGTTATTATTTTATTCCTTATAGTTATTTCTAGTTATTTTTCTTAGTTAATATAAATTAAGTAAGAATAATAATAGGTAGCTTTAAAGCTAGAAGAATAATCTCTTATTACCTAGTATATTTAGTACTTACCTATACTATATAACTAGATAGAAAATATATAATATAATAACCTTACCTCTTACCCTATATATACTCTATTAGTCTTAATATTTATATACTAGTAGATAGGACTTATTAAATAAAGTTCTATATAGGCTATTATTAGGATTCTAAGAAATAATAAATTTACTAGTAGATTTTAAAGAAGTAAACTATAATATCCTACTAAATTAAATACTTTATAGGTTATAAGACTTACTATTCCTTTAGTATTTAGAATTTACTAGTATATTAATAGAGCTAGGGCTTATATAATATAAAGAAGAATTATACCTCTTTTTTAATAAAGAGAGGTTAATATATATTATTTTCTTTATTAATAATATTATTATTCTAAATAAAAAAGAAGCTATAAAGAAAAGGAATAAATTTACTTATAAGCTATTTTAAAAATATAGAATATATAATTAAAAAAAGGTATTATAATTCTTAGGAGTTAAGATTATTTATAACTAAAAGAAGAAAATAGTATAACTCTCTTATAAAGTATATATAAAAAAGATTATAGCTAAGTTTAAGGTAATTAGTCTTAATTAAGTCTAAACTTCTTTACTATAATAGTAATTTATTAAAAGAATAGAATAAATAATACTAAAAGAAGTAAAGAGATATTAAGAGATTATTAAGTTAATCCTATATATATTAATTATAATAAAAGTAGATATTATATTTATAATATTAATACTATCTTATTATTTAATAAACCTATCTTAAATATATTTTAATATAGCTATTTATATTATTTAATATCTTTTTAATACTAAAGATTATTATATTATATATAATAAGAATAAAGAGGTAATTATTTTATAAATAGTAAATAATACCTTATATACTAATAATTTAGATATAAGGAGATCTAGTTAAGGATTTATTATAATCCTTTTTAAAGGAATTATAGCCTAGAAAGTATTATATTAAAGTATAATAATAACTTCTACTATAAAAGCTAAGTTATTAGCTTTTTAGAATATTATAAAAGAAATAATTATACTTAAATATCTTTTTTAGGAAATAGATATTATTCCTAGACTACCCTATAAAATTTTCTATAATAATTAATAAATAATTTATTTAGTTATAACTAGAAATTAAAGAATTAATACTAAATTATAATATATTAATATTTATTATTTATAATTTTAATAAAAATATTAATATAGATTATTTAAGATATTATATTTTTTAATAAAAGATATATTAGTAAATAGATTTATAAAGAACCTATTATTATAATTATTTATTTATTTTTAAGATTTAATTAGGATTATAAAGTTTAAAAGTAATAAGAGTTTAATTTAGACTAAAACCTAGTAATAGTATCTTTAGATATTAATAGAAAAAAAGGGAATAAAAAATATAGAAAAGGTATAAAATAATCTTATTATTTATTAATAAGATTTTTTACTAAATAATCTATAATAGCTTTATATTATTTTAATTTAATTAAATAAATATTAAATATAATTTTATATTTATAAAATAAGTTAAAAGACTTATACTTACTTATAGTTACTATTATCTTAAAAAAGGTTTAAATAGAATTCTATTCCTTTTTATAAGCTTTAAGACCTATTAAAGTCTAATATTATTTAGTAAAAAGAGCCTTAATTATAAGCTTTTTTATAATTTTTAATAATATAGAAGTAAAGGAATTTATTTTATTAATAATTAAAAAACTAATAGCCTTAAAATTATCTAGAAAGTTGATTTTTATAGTTAGAAGTTAAGGTAGAATATATAAAAAGAAAGGATTTTTAAAAGACTTAATTAGAATATAATTAAAAATAAAAGGATAAAAAAAGAGTATAAACTTAATAGCCTAATACTAAGTTCCTTTTATATAATATTTAAAATAGTAACTTATTAGCTTATTATAATAAAGAGAAGTAATATTAATTAAGGTTATAATATTAATATTTATAACTTTAAGGGTTTTCTATAAAGGAATATATATATATTATATATAAGACTTTATAAAGACTATTAAAAATATATATAGTAGTTTAAGTTATAATTATAAACTTTTTTTAAGTTTTTAAGAATACTTAAGTATCCTTCTTAATTAAACTAAGGGTAAAGAAATAGTTATTAATATTATTTAAACCTAAAAAGGTAAAAAATAATATAATAATATTATTTAAGTCTATATTATTAAGATTAAAAGTTAATAAAAAATAAAATAATTAAAAAAAATAGTATATACTTTTAAAATTAAATATAATAAATATACTATTAACCTTTTAAACCTTTATAGAAGTTAAAAGTTAAGACTACTTTACTAGATTTAAGTTATTAATACCCTATAAATACTTTAAAATAAAGATAATATATTTAAAGTTAATAATATTATTAAGATTAAAGGTTTCTTTATAAGTAGAAAAAGAATAAAAATAAAGTATAATTAAAAATAATAAAAAAAAAAAAGAAACTAGCCTTTTAAAGAATTAAAAGTAGTTTAAATACTCTTATATAATTATTAAAAATATTTTATTTTATATATTATAATAAGATTATATTATTAGAAAGTAATATATTATTAAAGTTATTATTATTTTATTTTTAAATAATTTAAGAAAATAATATAAGTAAGTTAGTAAATATAGAAAGAAAAAGAAAATAAAGTAATTATAATAAAATTAAAAAGAATTATATATATAAAAAATTTAAATATTTTTTAATTTAATAAAAGTAGTTATAAAGGATTAATTTATTAAAAAATACTATTTTTAATTAAATTTTAAAATACTTCTTTAAAATAATATAAGTAAAAAAAGAAAGAATTTACTTAAAAGGTATATTATAATTTAAGTAAAGATTATAGTATATATAATTAACTAAAAACCTATTTATAATAAAAAGCTAAAAAAAAATAGTAATATATAAATAAAGAAATTAAGTTTAAAGAAATTAATCTTAATTACTAATAAAATTAGGTAATAAAAAGATATATTAAAGGAGTATAATTAGGTTAATTAGTTAGGCTAGAAAATAGATATAAGAAGGGAGGAATTTCTTTTTCTAGTTAAGAAAGAATAAGGTAAAAATAGCTATAAGTTTTAATATATATTATTCTTTAACTCTATTATATAAAATTACTCTTAGTTATGATTAGTTATCTAATGTCTATATTAGCCTACTTATATAATTCATAAGAGAGAGCTGCTTCACGTGACTTGATTGTGTCGGAGCTTGATTTGCGAGAGAGGAACTAGAGAAATTCTGCATGATTATTCTGCAGCTGAAATTTGATGTGGGGTGTATCTTGGATGAGAAAATACTTTAACTGCGAGGCTAATAAGGCTATTTTTGATGCGGTTCTATTCCGGCCTGTCTCCAGGATTCTTCGATAAGGAAGTTGCTCGGGCAGACGGTTCTATGTAGTACTCCGTAATTCGTGGAGTAACTACTACTAGGTATAGATAGTCCCGAGTCACAATACCACAACCAAGGTGATCCAGTGATCATCAGAGCGAAATGGCTTCCGAAAAGTTCCCCGCAAGTCAAACTTTGATTCAACAGTCGGCCAATTGTTTTGGAGGTGAGCGTGGGGGACTCATCGACGGTTATTATACGTCATGGACTGTCTTGTTCAGACTGAGCAGCCCACGCCGGCAATGCATACGCCGATTTTATTCCTCTACTCTGAATTATTTCATTGTATAACCGAATTCTTGCCACCGGTAATCGCTATCCAAGACAGACGCCGTTCCGAGCATGATGAAGCCCTGGTGCTCCATCTTTGTCTCCTCTGTCACCTCCACCAGTCGCACAAAAACAGGAAAATGCGACCGAGAAAGCCACCGGGGAATAAAGACCCAGGCATGGCGGCAATCGACACCCCCGCGCGGGGAATACTCCGTGCGAGGGGCTGAACAACTCGGAAAAAAGTTGGAGTAAAGAACGAGGATCAGTATACCGCTACTCAACCGAACCAACGAACTAGCAGCGTCGCATTAGCCCAATTAGCCATTCAATCCAGAGCAATAGCCAAACGAGGTTAATAAATATCTCCTGCAGCCCAGTGCCGTCTACTATTATGTGCTCTCTCATTTTCCGCCCCTGCTTGTTCTCTTCATTCCCTGCTCTGTGGTGAATCCCAGCCACCCATTGAACGGAGAGAACCTCACTTACACGGACGCCACCATGCACCCTCCATCTCTTCCCCACGGCCTAGCTTTGGTGGCGGCGGGCCTCTTCCCAACCGTCCTCGCCGCTACATCCAAAGTCCAAAGTACGAGACCAACTTGTCTTGCGCACCGCCAATGATGATCGTCTAGCATCACTGACATTGTCGCAGCTATCGCCGTCGACGGTACCTCCTTTGCCCTCAACGGCGAGGGCGTGTCGTATCGGTTCCATGTCGATAATGCCACGGGCGACCTGCTCGGTGACCACTTTGGCGGGCTAGTCCCTGAAAATGGGCTGATACAACCCATTGACAACATCCAGGGCTGGGTGACGCTCGTCGGCCGGCAGCAGCGCGAGTTCCCGGACCTGGGCCGGGGCGACTTTCGTTCGCCCGCGTACTAGATCCAGCAGGCGTCTGGCACGACAGTGAGCGAGCTGCGGTACCAGTCGCACGAGATGGTAAGCGGCAAGCTGGCGCTAAAGGGCCTGCCAGCGACGTTTGGCGGCGACGAGGATGTGTCAACGGTCGTGGTGCACATGTATGACAACTACAGCGCTATCGCGGTGGATCTCATGTATAGCATCTTTCCCAAATATGACGCCATTGTGCGCAGCGTCAACTTGACCAACAAGGGTAATGCAACCATCACCCTGAACAAGCTGTCGAGCTTCAGCGTCGACTTGCCGTATGCCGACTACGACTTGGTCCATCTCAATGGTGACTGGTACCGCGAGGCTCACAAGGTGCGCCGCCACGTAGAATATGGCTCGCAGGGGTATGTACAAGATGTTCTACATAGAAATGCAGCCGATTTATAACTACAGGTTCGCTAGCAACGCGGGCTACTCATCCGCGCAGCACAACCCTCTCATGGCCCTCGTCGACCCCAGCGCCACCGAGTCGCAGGGCCAGGCTTGGGGCTTCTCCCTCGTCTACACGGGCTCGCATTCGTTTGAGGTCGAAAAGGGCTCCGAGGGCCTGACGCGTGCCTTGGTGGGTGTCAACCCGCTGTCTTTTTCCTGGCCGGTGGCGCCCGGTGAGACGTTTACCTCGCCCGAGGTTGTCGCTGTCTACTCGGACCAAGGGCTGGGCGGCATGTCGCGCAAGTTCCACCGCCTGTACCGCAAGCACCTGATCAAGAGCAAATTTGCGACCGAGACCCGGCCTGCGCTGCTCAACAGCTGGGAGGGTCTGTATTTTGACTACAACGAGACAACTATTGCGCGACTGGCCCGGCAGACGGCGGAGCTGGGCGTGCGCATGTTTGTGCTCGACGACGGCTGGTTTGGCGACAAGTACCCGCGCGTATCGGACAATGCTGGGCTGGGCGATTGGGTGCCAAACCCAGCTCGATTCCCGTCTGGCTTTGACAAACTGATTAGCAATATTACGAACCTGAAGACAAGTAACTCGTCGCAGAACCTCAAATTTGGTCTGTGGTTTGAACCGGAGATGGTAAACCCGAACTCGACCTTGTACGTGGACCACCCGGACTGGGCCTTGCACGCGGGCAACTACCCGCGCACACTCACGCGCAAACAGCTGGTTCTCAACCTGGCGCTTCCCGAGGTACAGAACTACATTGTCGACGCCGTCTCCAAGATCCTCAACAGTGGACCCATCAGCTACGTCAAGTGGGATAACAATCGAGGTATTCACGAAATGCCCCATCCGTTTACGGATCACCAGTACATGTTGGGCGTCTATCAAGTGTATGATAGGCTCACGACTGCGTTCCCGGATGTTATCTGGGAGGGCTGTGCCTCTGGTGGCGCTCGTTTTGACCCGGGTATTCTCCAGTACTTCCCACAGATATGGACGTCTGATGATACAGACGCAGTGGAACGCATCACCATTCAGACAGGCACATCACTGGTGTACCCGCCGTCAGCCATGGCGGCGCACGTCGCGGCAGTGCCCAACGATCTCACGAAACGCACGACGCCGTTGAGATTCCGGGCGCACGTGGCCATGATGGCGGGCTCGTTTGGGTTCGAGCTGGACCCGGCGCACCTGGAGGAGGAGGACCGTAAGATGATCCCCGGCATCGTGGCGTTACAAGAGAAGATCAACCCCATCGTGGTGCAGGGTGACATGTGGCGGCTCAACCTGCCCGACGAGTCGAACTGGCCGGCGACGCTCTTCATCTCCGAGGACGGCGAGCAGGCGGTGCTCTTTTACTTCCAACTCAAGGCGCACTTTAACAACCTGTTCCCGACGGTCAAGTTGCAAGGGCTGGACCCGCAGGCCACCTACCAGGTGGACGGCAACATGACGCTGTCGGGGTCGACGCTGATGCGGTTCGGACTGCAGTATACGTTTGAGGGCGACTACCAAAGTCGGGTGGTGATGCTCGCAAAGGAGTAGCTGATGCGGGGAAAGCTTCTAACAGGAGCGCTGGTGTTGGCTGTGAGTGGCAATGGGGCGGGAGGCTTTGCTAGCGTTATAGAAAGACAGAAGGAAACCGTGGCGAGGGTAGCCTGGAGACTAGCGAATAATTTGACGAGTGATGATAAATTGGAGTGGTGATTATGTACCTATTTAGAGGCCGTGATAATCAGAGCTTGTGAATAGTGCAGCGTGCAGTGGCCATGTGCTGTGATTCGGGGAGGTGCCTCGTACTTGGGTCTCTAATAGGTACAAACGAACAGAGGTAGGAATCACGTGGCGGACGAGGCTGTCGCGCGGGATGAGGGCTCACCAGGACAAGGCACGGGGAGGCCCCCCTTGATCAGTACTAAAAACACCAGCTATATTTCCTGAATAGGTACTCAGTATATTGATGGGAGAAGCTGTCATTCTGAGCAAGCGCCTGTCATTCGCAAAGTCTAAAAATATACCCGCTGGCACTAGTGATGTATGTACATAGCACTGTGAACATCTCTGGAGTTGCTAAATTAACTGTATAGGGACTTTGGTAGGACCAGGTACTTACTTAAAGGTAAGTCAGGGAGAGTCAGGAGCAATTGGCCGCTAGCGCGCTAACAATATTCCTGCACTCATCCCGCCACTGGTCGTTGCTCCGCTTCCCTGCTGACTGCCCAAAAGCATCACGACACAAACACACACCGTACATAGCCGTCCTGATGCTAATGTTACACGGACAGTCTCCGTCTCTTGCTCTTGTCTACTGGACTGTATAGTCGCCTCCATCCTCTTCTTATTCGCATACCTCGATATCGCCCGCTCTTCCGCTCCTGAACCGACTTGTTTACTGCCCGCAGTCCCCTACCCTCCAACTGTCTCGCCCAGTTGCTCCTCCAGCTGAGACCGTGCCCTCGTCGCTGTTTCATCGCCGACCACCTAACAAACGTTTCTTCTTCCACCTCGCTTTGTCGGGGCGCCACGCCCATTCGACACCGACCTGCCCTCCTCCTCTCGAGCCTTTACGCCCCGTCTTGACCGCTCGCCCCGGAGCGTGCTCTCTCCAACGCCGCTCGTCTAGTCTACCGAACCTGTCGCCACGATGCGTCCTGCCGTGGTACCAGCTCTCCAAACTGAGGCGTCCCGTTCGGCCATATCTTCGGATCAGGACGACTCCCGCTCATCCTCCAGTGACTCGCCCGCCCCTGCAGACAACGAGGAGTCGGACTTCTTCCTCGGCGCGAATGACTCCCAGTCATCCATCGGCGTCGTCAACTTCCAGGATATGCAGGTCGAGGACCGCTGCTGGCCCCCCGTCCACCGTCTGCCCAACGAGATTCTGATCGGCATTTTCGCCAAGCTCGGCACACCCGCTGACCTCTTCAGCTGCATGCTCGTCTCCAAGCGCTGGACTCGAAACGCCGTCGATCTGCTCTGGCATCGCCCAGCCTGCACCACTTGGAAGAGCCACCACAACATTTGCCAGACCCTAGAGGCCCCCAAGCCCTTCTTTAACTATCGCGACTTCATCAAACGCCTCAACCTCGCCGCCCTGGCTGACAGAATAAGCGATGGCAGTGTCACATCGCTTTACGTTTGCACCAGGATCGAGCGCCTCACCCTCACAAACTGCCGCGGCCTCACCGACGCTGGCATCATTGGCCTTGTCGAGAACAACACCAACCTGCTCGCCCTTGACGTATCCAACGACAAAAATATTACCGATCAGTCCATCTATACCATTGCCGAGCACTGCAAGCGTCTCCAGGGCCTGAATATTTCAGGATGTGACGGCGTCTCCAATGACAGCATGCAGGTGCTTGCCAAGAGCTGCAAATACATTAAAAGAGTATGCCTCACCTCGCGCTCCCCTTTATTCACTTGCTAACTAGTCTTGTAGCTCAAACTCAACGATTGCGTTCAGATCCGAGATAATGCCGTCCTCGCCTTTGCTGAAAACTGCCCTAATATTCTCGAAATCGATCTCAACCAGTGTGGGCATGTCGGCAACGGCGCCGTTACTGCCCTCATGGCCAAGGGAACTTGCTTGCGCGAATTCCGGCTTGCATTCTGCTCCCTAGTTGATGACTATGCCTTCCTGGCTCTCCCGCCTGCTCAGATGTTTGAACACTTACGCATTCTCGACCTCACCTGCTGTACTCGACTCACCGACGTGGGCGTTAAAAAGATCATTGACGTTGCTCCCCGCCTACGAAATCTTGTCCTTGCCAAGTGTCGTCTCATCACCGATAGTTCTCTCAACTATATTGCCAAACTGGGCAAGAATCTGCACTACCTTCACCTTGGCCACTGCGCAAACATCACAGATGAGGGCGTTAAGACGCTCGTCACTCACTGTAATCGAATCCGCTACATCGATCTTGGCTGCTGCGTCAACCTCACGGATGAGTCTGTGAAGCGCCTTGCTGTTCTGCCCAAACTTAAACGAATTGGCCTTGTTAAGTGCAACTCGATAACAGACGAATCAATCTACACTCTGGCCGAGATCGCCACTCGCCCTCGCGTTAGGCGTGATGCCAACGGCCTCTTCATTGGAGGCGAGTATTACACGTCAAATCTGGAGCGTATTCATCTGAGCTACTGCGTCAACTTAACTCTCAAGGCATGTCACTTGGTCATCTCATCACGTAAAATATTTCTAACCCCATATAGAGCATCCTCAAACTTCTGAACTCTTGCCCACGCTTATCGCATCTGAGCCTTACGGGTGTGCCCGCCTTCCAAGGAGATGACTTTTCACCATTCTGCAGAGAAGCACCACCTGGTATGTCTCACAACCCTGAACATATCTGTCTTGCTAACGTCATAGAATTTACCAATCATCAACGTAACGTCTTTTGTGTATTCTCTGGCAGCCAGGTCTCAAGATTCCGCGACTTTTTGAACAGCGCCCCTCAGTTCGACGAGTTACGCGATAGCCTTTCGCCTCGCCGCCATGGCCGCGCTCGCCAAGTATCAAGCCAAATACAGACCGCCACGGCAACCGCCTTGCCGACGGCTTTCGAAGAGACGTATGATGACGAAATGGGCGACGACAATGACGATTTTGAGGGCACGTATCCCAGCGATCTCCTGTCCAATGCCCAGCCTAACAATGGTTTTGCAGGCACTGGCTTTCAAGGGCAAAGCAACTTGCCATCGATGGCTCACAGCCTACCCACTCTACCAGGCATAGACGCTTTACCTTGGGACTTGCCTCACTCATTGGCTGTTGGCGGAGCCGCATTCCATCCCGGGACCTTTGCCACTCAGCAGCACATTCATGGGCTCCATGCCCAGCAAGGCGGCTTTGCCGCTCAACACAATACGCAAGGATATCAAACTCAGCAAATTCCGCTACCGACACTATCATCACTGATAGGGCATCAAGGGACATTCGCACATGCTCCCATGAACATGAGCGCCTTTGGCGTCTCACAAGCTAGTGTGGCCGGCCCCGCGTTTACTATTTCGGGACAAGCCAGCACAGCTAGCGTGGCGACTGCTACCGAAGCCAGTACCGCTCAAATGCATTATCAAGCAGAAATCGAGGACCAAGAAAACATGACGGGCTAGGGGTTCCTTCTTTAACGGCTTTAGCATGGGTTTGACGCATCATATTTCAACACGACATTCTTACGGCGCCGGGGATACGGAGTTTTGCACTTTTTCTTTTCTTCAAGTACAGCGGTTATGCATGACGAGGCGAGAAGCGGCACTTTTTTTCTTATTGTTGTTTCAGTTTCAAGATTATTTCAGACAAGGTGAAGGAACAGCTGGTCGCGGCAGGCCCTAGAGATTCAGCTGGAAGCATTGTTGGGGGCAAGGAAAGCAAGAATACTGACATTATTGTAACCCACAACCTCAAATTTGTCTATCTTGAAAGTAGTACCCCGAGACTAGGCATGGCAGCCTAGGTCGGGACTTGTCTACGCAGCGTCAGCCCATGTAAGATAGTACCGCAGTCTTCACAGGAAGAGAGGCTCTTATCGATTGATTGTGGGGAATCTCGGAGAACTCAGCAGGCTGATGCATGTCCTTCTGGAACTGGTACTTGGGTCGGTGAATAAATATTTGGTTGTGCTATTATTTATATTTTAAAGCGGCGGGCTGCTCTTGTCCAATACGAAGCAATTGCTCCGTTAGATACATGGCAGTTTCCGAGTCAAGCCAACTGCACAAGATTCAATTCAAACTGGTATCTTTTATAACTTGGTCCCTTTTCATGGAACTATTATTGAAAACAAGGGGAATCCCGAAACAAATGCCGTTAGACGGCCGTCGCCACCTTTTCCGTGCTGCTCGACGCCGAATCGTCCCCCGTCGCCAGCCCCGCATCGTTGAAGTTGCGCTTGAGCTCGACGTAGTCGTACGCAAACTCGCCGAGCTGCGCGTCATCGATGCCGACGTCCTCGTCGGCGGCGCTGACGCGCAGCGACAGGCCGGGCACGAGGTTCATGAGGAAGAGGATGATGCAGGACAGGCCAAAGGACCAGCCAAAGGCGGCACAGGTGCCTGCCAGCTGGTAGCCGAGCTGGATCCAGTTGCCCTCGATCCAGCCAATGGGCGCGTGGGAGCTACCGTCGAGGTTGGCAATGTATGATCTGATGCATGTTAGTTTGGTCTCCAGAGATGTGCAGAAAAAAATAGAGGACGTACGCTCCGAAGATGCCAGTGAGGATATTGCCAACCATGCCGCCGATGCCGTGGACGGCAAAGATGTCCAGCGCATCGTCAACGCCAATGAGGAACTTGAGCTTGGTGGCAAAGTTGCAGCAGATGGCGCCGACGACGCCGATGATGACGGCGGCCCAGCTGGGCACGAAGCCTGCGGCGGGGGTAATCGCGACGAGGCCGGAAATGGCACCGGAGCAGAAGCCGATGGTGCTCCACTTGCGCTCGAGGCGGTAGTCGAGGAGGACCCAGGTGATGCCGGCGCAGGAGGCGGCGAGGTGGGTGACGTAGCAGGCCATGATGGCGCGAATGTTCATGGCGAGGGCGGAGCCGCCGTTGAAGCCGAACCAGCCGACCCAGAGGAAGACGGTGCCAAGGAGGACGTTGGTGACGCTGTGGGGGCGGTACGGCAGGCCTTGGGTGGTGGTGTAGCCGGAACGCTTGCCGAGCATGAGGCTGTAGGCGAGGGCGCAGGCGCCCGAGGCGACGTGCACGGGGCCGCCGCCGGCAAAGTCATAGGAAGGAAGCTTCATGAGCCAGCCGTTGGCGTTCCAGGTCCAGTACGCGATGGGGTCGTAAACGATGGTCGACCAGACGAACATGAAGACGACGGCGGGAAGCATACGGCCGCGGTCGGCGACGGCACCGATGGCAAGGGCGGGACTACAGCCTGTTTGTTAGCCGGTGATTGCTGAAGAAGGAGTGGGCGGTAAGGGGGGACGCACGTAATGGCGGCAAACATGCCCTGGTACAGGCAAAATAGGATATCCGGCGTGTCGGCGCCGCCGTTGGGCTGGGCAAGCGTCTTCATCAGGCCAAACTGGGACAGGTCGCCGAGGAAGGCGTTGCCGGTGCGCGAAAAGGTGAGCGAGTAGCCCCAGAAGAACCACTGGAAACCAATGACAGCAACGGACAGCATGGAGAGAAGCACCAGCTGCAGGGCCGACTTGCGCCGGGCGAGGCCGCTGTAGAAGAAGCCGACACCGGGAATCATGAGGAGCACCAAGACGGAGGAGATGACGATGAAAGTCATGTGGCCGGTCTAAGTTGTTAGAGTGGGTGGGTGATGAGGAGGACGAGGATGGGAGCGTACATCGTAAAAGACGTTGAGATCATCGGCATGGGTAGAGTAGCCCGCGTCGGCGGTGCCGGTCGTGCCATTGTACTCGACGGAAGCACTCATGATGGCAATGTATAGGTCTGCTGTGTGTTTCACTCGAGATGTGTCTAGATGAAGCTGGCGAGGGGAGGAAGCGGGGGTCGTCAAAAAGATATATGATTTGACTCGGGTGCAGCGTATGGCGCCAAGTGGCAGCCAATCTCATGTGCCGAAGTATACGTGAGAGCCGGCTCCCGGAGGGCAGCAATCACAAGCTGGTTTGCTCGCGCTATTGACCCCGTTGGGTGAGAATCGATAAGGCCAGTTCATCTTGTCGCTCGCGCGATAAGAAGCTGAGAAGACGAGGCGTACAGGGCGTCGAGATAACGGACGACTGGGGGGGCGATGAAGCACGGGACCCTGCCCTTGGCGAGAAAGGGAATGGTATTGAGCTTCTTATCAGAGTGTTGGTTGTCGGGTGGTATCGGACGATAAGGTCCCTACGTGTGGCTGCCAAGCGCCGGCGCGGCTTGGGCTGTTATAAGCGAGAAGCCTGACTGCATGCAGAGGATATTGAGCTGACATCCAGCACACTCGTGTTCCATCAAGAAAGAAAAGCTGCACTGCAGCCTTTGACCGATACAGCGATCGATTCGCTGCCCCGGAAATGTCCCCCAACGCTCACTAGACGGGCGCAGACAATAAGCTTCGAGCCTCAGCTGCGACATTCGGACGGCCCGCGCGCCCCAAACAGCCTCGTCCTCACCCAAGTCGTGCACAGCTTATCTGAGCCGTTTTTGAAAGGAGTTGTCATGACTGGGGTGGAGCTTATCTCTTGGCTGCCCCAGAGTGGCAGAGACTCAAGCCTTGTCAGGTTGGCGCGACGCCACCAAACCACCACAACGCCACCAACCAGATAACAGAGTAAACGTTATCCATTGGCCGCTATCTTGGATGGTCTTGGAGAGCGATTTTTTCGAGAGGGAGAATTCGTGTCATTAATGTACAAAAGGGGAAAGTCGCTTCTCTGGTTTCCTGGTGGCCGATGTCGCTGAGAATCTGGTGCGCTCAATTGCTGGTTGCCCTATGGCCGATGTGCCGATCCGGTGGTAAGACGGCTTGCTCACAATAACCTCGGTGTCATTCGCCCGATTTTTGCTAACTCTCCACTTGGCCTTTCCACTCTGCTTCCAACTCTTCCAGTAACGTCTTGACCTCCCAGGGCACCTCCTCCTCCAGGACCCTCTGCTTGGCCGCAGGAATCGGGTCCAGCACATAGCTCGCCACGGTCTCCGGGTCGCGGCCCTGTGGCCGATCGATGCCGACGGCGATCCTCACCAGCGGCGACTGCGGGTACTTATCCTCGCGCAGGGCCTTTTTGACGCTCTTGATGCCGTTGTGGCCGCGCGGGCTGCGGTCCCACGGCACCAGCGCCGCGCGTCCCAGCGCCTTCTCGAGCTCGTCGTGCAGAACGACGAGACTGAGCGAGGCCGCGTCGTGCTGCTTGAGCATCTCCTGCCACGCCTTGGCGACAAAAGGCCCGCTAACGTTCATAAACGTGGGCGACTGGACGAGGGTGTACTTGGGGCCCTGGGAGACGAGGCACGAGAGCTTGCCGAGTTTGCCGCTATGAAGACTGGACTGTCGCAACGTTTTGGGGAGCCCGCTGAGGGCAAAGTGGCCGGCCGAGTGTAGGCTGGAGTACTCGGGAAGGGGGTTGCCGAGACTGACGACGAGAAATTTGGGATTAAATTTTGACATTCTGGGCGATTGCACTGCACTGCCTTGTGATCTACCTCTCTTGCCCGCAGAGTAATGGCACAGACGATGAAGAATTGTCAGCTCTCAAACTCGGGTGTATGTGGCGGGTAGAAGTCCCTGAGCCTCGAATAGGGGCACCCAGGTTAGAGCCACGATGCCTGGCACTCACTCCTGCGCACTCCCCAGCTCAATCAACGCAAAACGGTAAAAGTGATTAAATCAAATGAATCGTCCCCTCTTCTGTTGTATTGGGACAATCAAGTCGTAGTCTGGCTCACTCACAGCGCGAATTGGCGCGAAGTCACGTGCATCGCTGTAGCCGGGGATTGTGGAAGTGGCTCGGCTCTGACGTCGATGAGCCCCATCAAGCGCCTAAGTGTGGCTGCGCAGAGTAGTCGTCAACCTTTGTCAGACGTTCTCCTTCTTACACGACATCTTACACCATTGTGAACTCTTGGACCGCGAAACCCCATACTTGGAACCATTCGGATACTATATTGAATATCCAGAAACTCGACGAAATTCGACATCATGTCGTGGGCGGGTACGCGATCTCTGGGAGGTTCATAGAGATGAGGGGCTAATGTGAGGCAGGGTTCAAGAAGAATGTAAACCGCGCGACGACGCAGGTGATGATGAAGACGGGTAGGATTTGCAGACGAGGTTTTAAGTCAGGACACTGCTAACGAACCACAGGACATGTCGAGAAAACGAATGATCGCGATTACGAGGTGGAGGAGAGGTACGGCCGCGATTTCCCGCCAAGATACATCAGCTAACCTGGGTAGACGCTTCCGAACTATGGAGGCCGCCTCACTACGATTGCAGAAAGAATCCAAAGGCTACTTAGATTCACTCAGAGGTAGGTCTCCCGCTCTCGAATTGCTCGACAAAGCTAACGAGTGCAGCAATGACGGCGTCACAAATGCGAATCGCCGAGACAATCGACGCCTTCTACGGCGATTCCGGAGCGAGCGATGGCGTCAGTCGCAGTTACAAGCAAGCCGTCGAGGACCTCGACGCCGAAACCATCAAAGCTCTCGACGGCCCGTACCAGACAACGGTGCTGGAGCCCATCTCGCGATTCTGTGCCTACTTCCCGGACGTCAACGAGTGCATTAAGAAGCGCGCACACAAGCTGCTTGACTACGACGCGCTGCGCGCTAAAGTCAAGCGCTTGGTTGACAAGCCCGACAAGGACGCCACAAAGCTGCCGCGCACCGAAAAAGAGCTGGACATGGCCAAGCAGCTGTATGAGCAGCTGAACGAGCAGCTCAGCACCGAGCTGCCCCAGCTGATTGAACTGCGCGTGCCGTACCTAGACCCCACCTTTGAGGCTCTTGTCAAGATCCAGCTGCGCTTCTGCGCCGAGGCGTACTCGCGCATGGCACAGGTCCAGCAGTACCTGGATGCCGACACGCGTGATCTGTACGCCGACGGGCAGCTGGATGCCAGAGTAGAGGAGGTGCTCAATGAGATTCGGGAACTGAGCATAAGTGGGACGGTATAATGGAATACGGAAACGGTTGGGTAGCTCGTGGAGTCATGCATTCTGGTTTGCGGCGTATATGTGATTTCTTGGTTTTTATACAGATGATAGCCTGCCAAGCCAACGGGTCTCCGAAAAAAAAGTGAGGTTTGCACTTTTGTAATCTGTGCTATTCTGTCCAAGTTCTGATGGCAAAGCGCCATGTGAGCTCTCTTTAATAAAGAAACATATTGATGGTAATAATGCGCCATTGACTATGACCCCAATGCAAATTCTTTCTCGCAGGCCTTTGTCCCTACTAACTAATTTGTGCTGTGAACGTGGGCCCCTGCTAAAGTGCATCCCTACTGTTTCCCCGGCTTAAAAACTACTGTCCTTGGCTTACTGCCTGACTTCCAAAAAGGTCATTCATCGTAAGAGGCCTTCCAATAGCCTGCATGGCCGGGCCGGCCTCTTGGCGCTGATCATCCACAGCGCCCACCGACCGCACAATCCCCCAGCACTCCTGGATGGTGGCGGCGTTGATCTGCCGCGTCTCCTCACGGTCGTTGTGTATCCAGAAGCCGAGCACCCTATCACCTCCTTCCCAAGCACCCTCAATACGCAAGATGATTAGATCCCCGGCAATCTCGACGTCGCTGACTAGGGCAAGGTCGACAATGAGGTTGTGGAGGCCTCGGCGGTTCAGCACAAAGACGCACGCGCGCGGGGTGTTGTTGGGGTCGCTGGGGGACTGGGTGCAGACAAAGAGGGTGCCCTCGACGCCGGCCTTGTCCCACGCCTCGGTCGCGCTGTCAAAGGTGTATATGACGGCGTTGGCGGCGATGCTCAGGATGTTGAAGATGGAGGGCACGTAGCGCTGGAGGACGGCGAGGTTGAGCTCGGTGTTGGTGCGCGGGGGCGGCGCCTGGTATGGATGCTGGGCAGCCATGGCGGCGTCGGACTCGTAGTCGGAGATGGCGGGGACGAGATTGGAGGGATGGCGCTTGTGGCCGCGAGCTTTGCGTGGTGTTGCGATGCTCATGATGTCTGGTGTATGATGTGTGATGGTGGATGGCGGATGAGGAGAAGCCGTAGAGGCCTCAGACTATGAGGAGACGGAAACGATGATAATGACGAGTTTTTGGAGTTATTTCGAGAAATATCTGTGTCTGGAGAGTCTGTTTGCGCAGAGATTCGTGCATGTAAAGTAGATGGCAAAACAATTGGGAGGAAGGTATTGAAGCCTGATCTGGCCGCCAGACACCAAATCTCGACAAGAATGGCGGCTTGATTTGGTGGGGCTTGTCATGCGCCTAAATGTGGTCGTCACGTCACTGTGGGGGACGAGGGACGCTTCCCCAGGCACCACTACCGAGCGCGCCCTGCTTCTTGAGCAAGCCCGCGTGCTGGTTTATCTATACCCGATTTATTCAAACTCCAGACTATCTGGCTTGGTCTTGTCGCCCTATACATTTAACACCCCACCCGCCACTCCCGGACCTGCGTCATGATATAGCACGTCAAGCAACGATCCGCCGACTTCGACTTCCGCCGCCGCCACCGATCACAACGGTCTTCCTGCAGTTACCACACGATGCAGACGGCGCGCAACAGCTCTGTTCGCTCAGAGCCCTCTGATGGGGGCGATGGGCACCTCTCCACGCCGCAATCACTCGCCCACGCGCTCACCCTCCGACGATCCGAGTACATGGGCCAGCGCAAGCTCCGGGTCAAGATCGGCTCATGGAATACCGCAGGCTGTACTGGCACGGACAAGGATGTCGGCAGCTGGTTCTTTCGTGACGAGGGCCTCACGCATCCTCTTGACCGGCTACAAGTCTCCCCCAAACCAAATGAGCCAAAACATGCCGCCGCCATCGACCTCTACGTTCTTGGCCTCCAAGAGGTCGTTGACTTGAACACCACCAAGGAATACGTCAGTCGAGTCTATACCGAGAGCAATAACCAAATCACAAAGTGGAGGTCGGCTGTAGAAGCGGCCATCCCCAGCGGCTACGAGTTTGTCTCGGCCGAGCAAATGGTCGGGCTGTTGACGCTTGTCTATGCTTCGAGTGACATTGTCAAGCACATCTCCAATGTCAGTACCCAGCAAATCGGCACGGGACTGCTAGGCTATTTTGGTAATAAAGGTGCCGTGGCGACCCGGATTGTCATCGGAGAAACCACGCGCATGGTCTTTGTCAACTCTCACCTGGCTAGTGGTGCAGGCCCGAGCTACCTTGACCGTCGCTGCTGGGACGTGGCGCAAATCGCTTCCAAGATGCAGTTTGATCCGCTGGTGAACAACGGTGTCCTTGACGATGCTGGCGATCAGTTCGGCGACGAGGACTTTACATTTTGGTTTGGTGACTTGAACTTTCGCCTCGGGAGCCTCCCCGGCGACGACATCCGAAGGATATTGACGCTACATACGCGTGGCGAATACGACGTCGGCAGCAACAAGCCTCCAGAGCCTCTTGACGGCGAACCTGTTATTGTTATGAGGGATTCGGAAAGCGACGGCGAGACCACAACAACTTCCTCCATCAGCTTCAACACGGAGCAGAGCCTTGATTCAGAAACATCGCTACCCGACCCAGACGACTTTCCAGAGGACCCTAGCCAAGACCCGGCTTCGTTACAGGCAACACTAGATTCATTGTTGCCTCATGATCAGCTGCGCCAAGTCATTGCGAGTCGCAAGGCTTTTCATGACGGATGGAAGGAAGGCCCAATCACGTTTCTACCTACATATAAATATGATGTCGGCAGTGTGGCGCTGTTTGATTCCAGTGAAAAGCGACGGGCTCCCAGCTGGTGCGATCGCATACTGTACCGGACCCGAGAGTACAAGCAAGCATTCGAGAAAAAGGTCGTGGATGAAGAGGCGGCGAGGAAGAAGGATGACGAAATGAAGTCTCGCGGAATGGACGCAGACGAGGACGTACTGTTTAGCTACGACCCAGAGGACGATAAGGAAGAGCAAGAACCAGGAACATCTACCAACAGAGGCTACCAGTATGACGAATACGACGACGACGACGACCAACCAGAGCCTGGAAGCGTGGCTACAGACCGGGTCAACCTGGAACTATATACCTCCTATCAACGAATCACTTCATCCGACCACAAGCCACTGTCGTCGATATTCATGCTCACTTGTGACTGCGTGGCCCCGGAGGAGAAGGCCAAGGTCCATGCCGAAGTCGCGCGCCAACTTGATCGCGCTGAGAACGAAGGACGCCCTGTCATTACTCTCGTACTCGAGGGAGATGCGACACAAGACGCCAACATTGTAGAGCTGGGAGACCTCAGTTTCTTGGCAACGAAGAGCAATTCCCTTACAATTGCCAACACGGGCGGTGTACCAGCGAGCTTTTCTTTCATGGACAGACCATCCATGGACAACTCTGACAGCGGCCTACAGTCGCACGACTGGCTTACAACGACATTCGTCAAGTCCGACGACAGTGGTGAGGCTGTTGGGCCAAGCGTCATGCTTGAACCAGGAGAAACTGTGACGGTGGTTCTCGACGGCCAGGTGTCGTCGATGCCATTTCTACGGGCCCTCAACAACGGGCATGCATCGCTTGAAGAGGTCCTTGTCCTCCGTGTCGATAATGGCCGAGACCACTTTATTACCGTGCGCGGCCAATGGCTACCAAGCTGCTTTGGACGGTCGATCGATGAGCTCATTCGCGTACCCGAGGGCGGCATCCGTAGGTTCTTGCAAGACAAGAAGATACACGGAGCGATCCCCTACGACTCCGATGTCCACTGCTCAGCGCCGCGCGAGCTGTTCAAGCTCACCGAACTTATCCAGACGCTGGCCGAGCGCTGCGCCGCCGACGCCAGCATCCTGGAGGACATGTCGCTACCATCCGACGCCGGCTGGCCCTTTGACGCTGGGACGTGCGCTCTCGGGAGCCACGAAAAGCAAGCCGTGCAGTCGTGCGTCATTGCCGCGCTGGACACGGATGGCGCCATTGCCGAGGTGCTACCTATTGAGCTGTCGTCGCCGCACAAGCTCGAACTCGTATCTTCGGTGCTGCTCCTCTTCCTCGCGTCCCTGACCGACGGCCTCGTGACGGCGCAAATGTGCGCGCGCCTGTCCACCACCATCCCGCCCCTGGCCACGCTCCCGCCGAGCGCGTGGCCAGACACCAAGGTGCAGATTCTCGACGTGCTGTCTGCGGCGCCCAACCACAACATTGCCTTTGTCTTTTTGACGTCGACCGTAGCGCGCGTGGCCCGCGAGCTGACGCCCCCTGCTACGACCGCGTCTCGCGCCGAGGGCCAGCAGCGGCGGCTGAGTTTTCGCAAGAGCGGCGGCGGCGGCGGCGGCGAGACGAACGGTGGCGGCGCCGCGGCCAAGAGGCGACGGCGCTACGCGGAGCTGCTGGCGCCGCTGACGTTTCGGAGCGGTGAGCCCAGGGATAGAGTGACGCGGGACAGGGAGCGCGCGACGCTGGAGCTGTTTTTGAGCCTGGAGCCGCAGGACTAGGAGAGCCAAAAGGGGGGGAAACAACGGCGGCGGCGGCGGCGCCGGGCGAGACTGGCGCAAAGAGTGAGGATGGTGTGGTGTGCGGCGCGAGTAAAATGATAATATGATACGTGGTGCCATGGCGTTGTTGGTGGTGGTGGCGTACTAGCTTTAACGGTGGCTGCATTGGTACTGGTCTTAACGGTGGCCGCATTGGGATGCTCATTTTTAGATTCTACAATTTTTACACTCTTATTCTACCGACTTGTGGCATTTATTTTGCCTGCTCTTCCAGTGTCTACTGCGCGAAGGAAGCCCTGTCTTGTCCCGCTTGTTCTCGCCATGCTATTTCCAATTACGCCTCACGTATGACCAACACAACACCATTGGATGCCAAATTCAACTCCAACAGTCCTCGCAGTATTATGCGATATTTTAATTACTCAATGAACATGCACTAACATCTGATCTGCGTTCCTGATCACGATATCATGCTATGCTATGTAATTTGTGAAGCAATCCTGCTTAGCCATGCTTGTACCTAGGTTTCATCATAAATATAAAACAAAACAGTAGATTCCAAGGAGTCTACCCGCGATAAGCAGGGATTTTGCTGCGCTGAGCTTCATGGCGGGCAGCCGCTCTTGGGAATAGTGGCTGGTCCAGCCAGAACCATCCCACATACAGCTCAATGTTGATCTAGAGCAATAGAACACAAGCAAAGAACGTCGACAATAAAATATCATCAAATTCAGGCCAAGTGCGCTAATCGTTGGGGTGCGGTTGCTTGACGAGACTGCTGTGGCGAGACGAAACGCAGAAAGGCAAGGAGTATGACAAGCCCATTATGCAGATAACCTTTGCTCGTACGGGCTACATCTGTTCAGCTCCTCTGCATTGTAAAGGTAGCTACGAAAGAAGATGTCGATACTTGACTTGACTTCCCCTCGCGTCACGTTCATGTGTGCGGATGTTCTTCTCCCGCCTGCTTGCCCGACTTATTTTTCCTTATGAAAGCCGCATGTGTAACGGAGAGGTAGAGATCGGCTCAAGGAGGAATCAGCAGCCTTGGTCAAGGAAGCCGCGTGAGAACATCACGAGGTGTATTCGGTGAGAAATGTGGCTGACCATACAAAAAGGTCAAGCAAGGCATAATTCGGGCTACGGTGAGAGCGATGCTACTCTATGAACAAGTGGCGATGTGGTTAGACGGGCGTCCTAAGGCAGCAAGGATGGCAGACATGGGGCCGTCGATGGGGTTTTTCGTTCAATAACCCCATGTAAAGGACAGAGCGCCGTGTCATACGGTCACTGGTCGGAGTCGCGGGTGGTGGCAGTCAGATATGTGCATGTCTCAGGGCCATAGGCAGCAGTTTCAAGGCACAAGACATCGAAACGGGCAGCAAACCTCGGCAGGCTCATGACAGCGGAATTCGATTGGGTACGTGGTGTTGCACAGAGACACATGAATGTGAAATCGCTAGCGAAGACGAGATGGGCGGAATGTATCCGTAATATGTGGACAGGGCAGAAAAGAGGGCATATTTGCTTTTTTTTGGAAGGCTCGTGAGTTGTCGGTAATGAGGAAAAATGCAGTGTAACGGTGGGTGCGGTACTGGCAGGCACTGGTAACTAGAGGTTGGATGGTGTGAGGTCGGATGAGCAGGATGAGCCCTATAGATAGTACTTTGTACGTTGCAGTCGCAAGAAGCAATCTTGGTACACAGGAAGAAAAGACAGGTATAACAAGATGCTGTATTATATTTGACGTGTCATATTGATGGCGGGATATGTTTGCCATGGAGAGCTGAGTATCTGAACGTGCTGCTCTATTCTTCGGGCTCAAGTCCTCCATACAGAAAGGACATTCGGGTTATTGTGCACATACCGATAGTCATGTATGAGTGAGTCTAGGGCATCTAGACGCAGTCTGTCCTTACCTGCGTGAATTAGTGAGACTCGAGGATGGCATTTGCCAAGTTGTGGGAGAAGAGAGGAAGGGCGGCAGATGTACTGTATGAGAGCAGTTCTTCTTCAGTGGCAAGTCTTCTGAACCTCTTCTGGAACTGACCCTGGAATTACGGTTGGTGTGAGGGCGGCAATCCAGGGATGTCTCAGCGAGTTATTCGAGGACGATGACTACCACGCGAGGTTCAGCTGGACATGGACAATGACGGAATGTGGTTGTATTATCTTTTACATGATATCGGCATGTAGTATGACTGATAGAGCTCCTTTCAGTGCTTCAGTGCACAGCGTGGCGATTGCGGGGTGCGGAAGAGCATGACGGCAGGCTGTATTACTTGGTGTGAGCAGCGCAACACTGAAAGAAAAGGACAAACACAACTAATCGCAGAGTCTTTCTTATCGGTTGTTCAAGATTATAGAACTATGAATAGCGACGATGCTGGCGATCATGACCGGACAGTCAGTTCAGTGGCAGTGAAGTTTAGGGCCGGCAGTCGGTGCCCACAGACTAGAGGGCATCGAGGATCCGATGAAGCTACTAGTGCTGCCGTACTAACTAAATAATTCCGATGGACTTTAATGATAACTAGTTGAGCGGGTTAACTTTAGGGGACAGGTGATCATTGTAACTTAGGTATAGAGTGGTCAGGGGTCCGTTGGTGCAGTAGCGTCGGTGCAAGAGTTCAAGGTCGGTTAGGTCAAGCTGGCAAGCTGCGTAACGAATGATGCTGGTGACAGCCACTGACTGGTGAGTGATTGGTGGGTGAGGTCGGGCTTGGCTGTCAGCACTTGTTCGTTGGGAGGTGACGTTGCAGCGGAAGCAGAGTGCACAGGGCGCGATGAATGGGCGATGATTCGCTGTCCAGAAAAACCCATAAAGCGATGGCAGTGATTTATTCCTTCCCGGAGGAAGCGACGGGAGTAAACGATTTTGGTTTCTGGGATGCTTCAGCCTGTCATGAGAAAGGAAGGGGATTTGCAGAAGATGGCATGATTTGTTGGGCGGAGTGTGGAAGAGTGGGGTGACGAATGAAGAAAGAAAGCGGGCGGCAAGGCAGGTAGAAAGAACAGAGTGAGTGGTATCTGGATACAAGGATGCGGACTCGATAACTACTCTGAACTACTCTGTAATACTCTGTACAATATTACTCTTCTCCAGACCCTAACTAGAGAAAGTATTCAATAGTATGACCGGCAATCGTTAGACAGGATGGAGAGATGGCGCCAAGACAGCAAGGCGAGCGCGCAGCCACTGACGTGACAAGCAGTCAAACAATGTCTTGGTGCTGAATGCTGAATTGCTGTATGCACTGTGCATCCGGTCGCTTTCCGGTGTCGGCACACAGTGCGTACAGCCTGGGGATGCACCGTGTCCAACAAGGGAACGGGCGCCGCCTTCTCCGTTTGTCCGTTTTTTTCTTTTTTAATTCTTTTTTTCTTGTCCATTTTCATCCGGTGGCTGATGACCCTTGCCCACTCACGCTGCCGGTTTGAATGGGTCCAAAGCGCCTCGTTTAGTGATTTTGCGCCAGCTGCAAGCCCGCATCAGCCCCAGAAAATAAGCTAAACTCCATTGACGATAACTTTGTCCCTTTTTTCCCACTGGTGGATGCTGCGACTCCGCTTTTCTTCCTTCTTATTTTATTCTTCTCCTGCGTGCACCCAATTCTTCATGCTCCCATTCCTCCCCAGCCAGGTCGCTTGTCTCCTGTCTCGTGTGCCCATGTTCTCACACCACACTTTGTACGCAGTAGGTAACTACAGATACACTTTGTCGCTGTCGCTGCCAAAACATCATCTAGCATCGATGAGGCACCACTTTTTGCGACACACTGTCCACTAGGCGATGCCGAACAGGGGCATCGATGGAGGCATAGCATTCAGCATCCTTCCCCCGTAATTCAAGCAAGATACTTGGCTCATCTGCCCGCGGGCTACCGAGTCTTCCGTACCCCGTATTGTAACATGACTGCTCCGTACCTCTTGTCCCAGGCGTGCGTCCCTGCCTCAGCAGAGTCATGATCCCAGTCCCTGTCCCCTCACAACCGAGCACTGCGCATCTGCATTTCGCGACAATTCCATGCCGGCGCATCTGCAACTGTTCTTTCCAAATTATATCGCCCTCGTAGTGGTTACCAAGTATTCAGTATTCCCACGGCAGCGGCACAGCCGTGCCTCTATTCATCCCTTCCAACGCCTCTTGCGCCCAGCTCAGCAAAAGTCACTCCACCCCAGTCGTCCCCCCGCGTTTTGGCCCGCCGCAAAGGCCCGAATAAAACCTGCAACCACCCACACTCGACTCTTCGACTTACCACTCACCATTCACCACCAACTCCCCGTCTTCTTCATCCCCGCAACCCCGGATACGCCTCACGATTTCCGACCGGCTTTTTTTCAACGCTCTTCTCGCTGACATTCGCATTGTCGGGAGAATCATCAACGCTCGCCCATTGTCTGCTTTGACTGTCGCTGACCGCCCCAACAAAGGCTTGGTCCGCGTCACCCGACCGCCCCTCGAAAATCCTTCACCCACTAGTCCGCCACAACTCGACTCTTGTTCCTCAACAACCACCCACAACCGCCATCATCGATTTCTCAACTCCCACCATGTCCCAGGCCGTCAAGCGAGCCTGCGATGCCTGTCATCGTCGCAAGGTCAAATGTGACGGCATCAACCCCTGCCGCAATTGCTCTTCCGCCCAGCTTTCCTGCACATACAATGCCATCCCTCAAAAGAAAGGCCCCAAGGGCTCCCGCGCCAAAGTCATCTCTGAACTCCGCGAGACGCAGCGCCTTACTTCGCTCTCTGCCAAGGTCCAGAACCGCATGAATGGCATCGCCTGCCCCCATTCCGTCACCCTCGCCCCGACCCCCGGCATGGTCACCTCGGATCTCGTCAAGGACTGTGCCTCCTTCTTCTTCGACCACATGTATTCTCAGGCACCCATCCTCGACCGCCGCCAGGTCGACCAGCAGCTGCTCTACATGGAGCAGAACCGCGATGCCTACTGCCTCATGACCGCCATGTGCGCCTTTGTCCTACTCCAGCCAGGCATGGCCATGCCCCCCGGCGATCCCTACAACCTCGACATGGTGCCCGGTGCCAACATCATCTCCTCCCAGCTGCTCCTCGAGGAAGCCCACAAGGTCCGCAAGGGTTACGACTATCTCGACTCCGTCACCCTCAACGCCCTCGCCACCAATTTCTTCTTCTTCGCCTGCTACTACGGCCAGGAAATGCACGACAAGGCTTGGTATTACCTCCGCGAGGCCACCACCATGATGGCCATGACCGGCATGGATAAGGAGGAACACTACCTCCAGTTTGACGCCGTCGAGTCGTCGCGCCGTCGCCGCCTCTACTGGCTCTTTTACTCGGTCGAGCGCGCCTACGCCCTCGCCCGCGGTCGTCCCCTCACCCTCAAGGCCACCATCAACCTGCCCACTCTGGCCGACGATCCCTCGGACCCCCTGGCTCACCAGCTCCACGCTTTCATCATGCTCGTCAACCTCTACCGTCCCTTTGACGACTCCTTTGTCACCGTCTGGAACAAGACGCGCAATCACCTCTCCACCCCTTACATTAGCGGCCTGCAGAAGCAGCAAAATGATCTGTCCCAAAATTATGCGTGCCAGGACCCCAACTTTGCCGACTTCCGCACAAACCAACAGTGGCTCAAGAATACCGTCTGGCAGCTGACCAACGGCAGCAATGGGAGACCTGAAGACAACTCGTTCTATAATGGCGACATGGCGCGTGAGCTGCTACTCAGCATGGCCACGTCCTTTCCCAATCGCGGCATGGATGTCGTCAACACTGGCCTCATCGAGAAGCTCATTGAGATCTCCTTTTCCCTGACCGAGTTCCTCGCCATCCAGCCTGCTTCGCGGGACCCCTTTGCCACTGGCCCCCGAGAGTACCTCAGCCAGATTCTGACCTCTGTTGCCCTCGCCCGCTCCGGCGAGCATCGCTTCCTGCCCCTGCTCATGAGCAAGCTGTCCGAGATTCTACCCCGCACCGTCAACCCCATGTTGCAGAATGCACCTGACAACGTCAACATGGCCTCGGTCGACATTTTCGACGGCTTTGGAAATGCCGGCATGGCCCAACCCCCATTGCAGATGATGGACACCGACTACGTCGAGAGCAAGTACGCCCTCGAGATGAACAACCGCGACACCGAGTCCAACTCGCATGCCAGCCACACCACGCCCGGTTCCGGCTCCGACATGAGCAACTCATTTGTCGCCTCCCCCAGCATCATGTCACCCGGCATGGAGTACTCTCACGGCAACAACCTTCCCATCAACACCTTTGGTGTCAATTCCATACAGGAAATGGTCAGTCCAGTAGGACCCTCGCCCCAACACATGCACTTGCGCCAGGGCATACCCATGAACAGCATGGTTCTCCCCCGCCAGGGCAGCTTTATGCAGAGCAACGAGTATCACGCGATACCGGCCGAGCTCGACTTTAACTCACTAAGGTGACCAAGGATAAACTATTCCCAGGACAATACTATAAAGACTCTCCGCCCTAGCCATAGCTCCAGCTTGGTCCAGCACACGAGAGCGTGTACGAACTAGCATTCTTCCATTCTCGTCTCACCTTGGTGCAGACACTTTTCTTCTGTCGCAAGAGTTTACCTTGGCCTTTCCCTCTCCTTTGTCGCATCGGGGCGTCGACCCCAGCGTTTTTGCGAGTTGAACCACTGCAACGGGTTGGTGTTTTTTTATTTCCAGCGGAGCGTGCCTGATTTCTTTGCAAGACATGGCCTCTTTTCAAAAATTTATTTCAACAGTATTATTTTTGAGACGATTTCTTTATGTACATAGTTGTTAGAAGTCAAGACTGTTATTATTACCTCTCTCTCCTCTTCTGTGAAACCTTGTGCCAATGTTGAATCATAACCCCCAACAAGACAAACGGGGAACTACCAGATGGATGCTTGTGTATTTGATCATTGTCATTACTCTGCAATCAATCCTCCGGGAGTTATTCCTCTGTGCTGTCATTCCTCTCAGTCATCATGTACTCGTATATACTGAAATAGTATCAAATCCGTGCTCTGTCGCTGTTTCGAACAGAATCACGTCCATGCTCCGTCGCTTTTCCGATCAAAATCCATTCATGCTCTGTTGCTGTTCCACAGCGTGGTATATCCGTCCGTCACCTACTTCCCCCCTGGGCCAACCTTGTCATACCATGACCATGTTCCTTTTCCACTACCCTTCCCATCTCCATCTCCATCTCCCGACTTACCTCTTCATCTCCGTCCCCGACTTACCTCTGGCCTTTGACGGCAGCCACGGCCAGCGTCTCGATCCTTGCCGCGTACAGGCCCATCATGTGGGCGACAGGATCGCCCCATATGACGCCCCTCAGCACCGCCTCGTCGCATGTTTGGGCACGGACGCCCTCCGCCAGGCGGTCCTCGACGGTGCGCTCGCCCGGCCCCGGCGACGCCATCGGATCACCGCTGCGCAGCACGACGATGCGACCGGCGTTGCTCAGCGTGCACGCGGGCACCGGCCAGTGCACCTGCTGATAGCGACGTCGCGGCAGCCGGGGGGTGCCGTCGCTGCGCCACCTCGTGCGCTCGCCCAGCGCCGGGCGGTCGGGCAGCAGCTCCCGCTCCGGCGGCGGCTTGGTGAGCAGCTCCAGCAGGCTCCTGACGTAGGCGGTGTCGGCGCGGGCGACGGGGTCGCCCTCGTTGACAAAGGCGAGAAACAGGCACTTGGTCAGGCGGCGCGGGTTGGCCCCGCCGGGGCTCGGCTTCTGCAGCGGCAGCAGCGTGACGGGCGGGGCGCCAAAGGTGACGCAGTGGATGCGCTTGAAGAAGCCGGCGAGCAGGTTGAGCTCGCTGCCGGTGCCCGGGGCGGTGGCCAGCATGTGCATGTAGAGCAGCGCCGCGATGGCGCCGCCGGCCGAGTGCCCGGTGATGAGCAGGCTGTAGGCGGCGCGGCCGGGGCTCTCGGCGAGCAGGCGGCGGAGGCGCGCGGCCACGGGGCGCACCATGTTGCGCGCGACGGCGAGGAAGCCCGCGTGGCAGAGGTTGCCGGGGTCGTCGAGGAAGCCGTCCGGGGAGGAGGGCTCGGTGGAGAGATTGACGGCCCAGTCCATGAAGGAGGACGTGCCGCGGATGGCAAAGATAATGGTGGAGGCGTGGTCCATGGGGACCGACTTGATGCACATGGCCTTTGTGCCGGCGCGCCAGTCCGAGGCCGAGTAGGACTCCTCGGATGACGACGACGACGGCTTGTACACGTCCGAGGAGTGCTGGGCGGCGAGGCACAGCAGCGGCCACGTGGGCATGTACAGCGCCAGCGGGGGCAGGTCGAGCGGCAGCTTGGAGTTGGCGTACAGCTCGACCTTGGCGAAGCGGCTACTCTTGCGCAAGGACGAGGTGCCGAGAGAGCGATCCGTGTAGGCCAGCAGGTCCTGCTCGTCGTCGTCGTCATGGCGGCGCATAAGGCGGCCGGCTTCGGCGGCGGACACCGTCTCCCGGTCGATGCGCGTCATGACGTCGTCGAGGCGCGTCGACATGTCATCGTAGACGTCGCGCACGGCCGAGTCGGCAAGGACCATGACGGAGTCGGCCCAGCGGCTCATGCCGGCCGCCGGAGGGGACGACGACGACGACGCAGCCGCGGCCTGCCATGGCGGGGGATGGTGGGTGGTGGTGGTGTGCTGGGGGTGGCCGGTTGGGGGATACGACTGGGGGTAAGGCTGGGGGTATCGCGGCCGATGTCGCTGCGGTGCCGGATACGGCTGAGGAGGAGGAAGAGGGGAATGTAGTGGTGGTGATGGGAGGTAGTGCTGGGTTGGCGGCGGCTGCGGCGGCGGCGGCCTGGTGTAGGCGGTTGGCGGGTCAAAGACGTTCCACGACGGCGACGAGTCGTGCCGTTTCTTTTTGCTGCTGCTGAACCAACCCATTGTGCTCTATGGCTACACGGCAGCTCGTGTTTTGTCTTTGTGCGAGTTTGGAAAGAGGAAAAGGGGAGGGTTTGTCGGGACAAGGCTGAAGTTGTTGAGGTGGGACACATGACATCTGATCGGACGGGGGAAGCGGGTGGCTTGGCATTGCTGACCAGTCATGGCTGCGCTCTCGATTAGGAGCTTGCAAACAGAGTGGAAACTAGTTTGTCTTGTTGGTTTATTTTTAGAGGGATTTACCTGCATATTCGTTTAGGCATCGCTCTATAGAGCATCTTGGCGGACTTGGCATCGCGGCCCACTGAACAAGGTTGCTAACGTACTTGCTTCAGTGACAGTCATGTCCTTGACAGGTATTCATAATGCATACCCCAGCTTCTTTAAAAAGCGCCCTCCTTCTACCAACTTGCCTCAGAACCTCGTCAGGGCCGGACTGTCCTTGCTCGCAGGATACGAAAACTTGGTCTCGACAAACACCTTTTGCATGCCGTCCTGCTTCTTGTCAAACGCATAGTAGACCTTGTCGAGATCCTCCAGGCGCACGCGGTGCGACACCATCTGCATGGGATCCAGCGTACCCTTTTCAATGGCCTGGAGCAGGTCCTTCCAGTACAGGTGGACGGGTGCTTGGCCGTTGCCGATGAGGCGGATGCCGCGCTGCATGAGCGATCCAATGTTGAAGTGGTTCGTCTGCTCTTTATTAGCTTTTCTCCTCTTGAAGCTGGGAATATGCCATCGACTCACAAATCCAGTGTAAATACCGGTCACGCCGCAGCGACCAAACGACCGCACGCTCTCAATCATCTCGTTGATGAGCTCGCTCGTGTCCGTCTCCAGGCCCGTCGTCATCTCCAGCCAGTGCAGCCAGCTCTTGGCGTACTCGCCCGCCGCGCACTCGAGCGCCACGTCGGGCCCGCGGCCGTCGCAGAGTTCCTTGAGCCGGGTGACGACGGTGTTCTTGCTGGTCAGCCCGTTGGACAGCTTCTTGTAGTCGACGAGTTCGAGCTTGTCCGTGGGGAACCTGGATTTGATAATGGACAGACGCGGCTCCGTGTCGACAAAGATGATCTTTTTGGCGCCCTGCTCGAGGGCGAAGACGCCGGCCATTTGACCAATGGGTCCGGCGCCAAAGATGGCGACGCTGTCATCTTTTTCGACGCCCGTGTCGACGACGCAATGGTACGAGGTGGCCAGTACGTCTGACAAGAACAGTGCTGTTCTGCGGTTAGTATGCCATGCAAACTCATGTCATGGACTCCGTCATGGGAACAGATTCCTTACCTTTTTCATCAGGAACGTGCTCAGGAATCTCGAGCAAGTTGACATCCCCCATCGGCACGCGCACGTACTCAGCCTGCCCCCCCGCGAACCCGCCCGTAAAGTGCGCGTAGCCAAACATGGCCGCCGTCTGGCCGCCATACATTGTCTTCTCCAGCGTGTTGGCGTTAGTCTTGGCGCATTGCGACGACAGCTTGCGCTCGCAGTACCAGCAGTCGCCGCAGGCGATCTGAAAGGACGCGACGTAGCGCTTGCCGACCTGGACGTTGTGGACGGCGCGGCCCACGACGGCGGCCTCGCCGCAGAATTCGTGACCGAGAATGTCGCCTTTCTGCATCTCGATAATGGCGCCGTGCAGGAGGTGCAGGTCGGAGCCGCACACAGTGCTGCCCGTTACTTTGAGGATGACGTCGCGGTCCTCGACGAGCTTGGGCTTGGGGGTGTCGACTACCCATGGCGTTGTTAGTCCATGACTGCGTTTCGAGTGTAAGGGAGTGAGGATGTACCAATTTTTACTTGGTTCTTGCCCATCCACACCAGGGCCTTCATCGTATCATCTTCACCCCCGGAAGGAAATGAGGATACATCTTGTTGGGTGATGGCACTGTTGTCGTGCCCAACAATCTTCTCGACTACGTTTGCTGCTTGGGCGAGAGCCATGTTTAAGGTGTAGATTTCAGATAACTTCAGAATCCAGTGAATGAACTGTTGCCATGAAAACCGCAATCGGCAGCAGACGGTCTAGTTATCATCCTCCCCACGGTCGCTATAGTTCAGCGTCCTGACGAGACCATGACGCTTACTTGCGTACATGACGTTTGCACCCGCAACGCTTAAAACGGTGTCGGACTAGAACACATGTAGCAAAGACGTGTTCGAAGAAGGAAGCTATCGCTTCTAGCTTGTGACGTCAAATTTGTATCATAACGGGCCAGGCTGCTATACGCGCGGCCGCGGCCGCCAACCTATTAATAGGTACCTAGTGGATGGAAGCCCGCCAAAATAGCCACTACCAACTAATATAACTGCGTGATGATCGATCAAGTTCCTTACCTATTAATTGACCACATAATTGTGTAGCCAATAACGTCTTAATGCTTATGGTATTCACACAGGGGTGATGAAGTTATTCACCTGCCAACAAATCTCAGCTCGAGATATCGCAGTGGCGCAAACGTGAGCATTGTCATGGCGAATCCAATCCACATGCCCAGATCAGCACCAGAGGCCAGCTTCGACAATGAGCCGACGTACCAGGCCTGCGACATGCCTAGAACAGCTCCAACCCAGCCAACAAGAAAGCCAAGTAGTGCTGCCCACCCTTGCGGAAGGTACTTTTTATTCTCCCATTGAGCCCAATCCCACCCCCGGTTGCGATGGAAAATCAGCTGTTCTTCCAGGCAGATGCACACCATGAACTCGATCCAGTAGCCCATCAGAGCGACGAAATTGGAGTAGATGGCGAAGAGGTTCTGGCGGCCGGCCAGGCCCAAGACCAGCTGGATGAGAACCAGGATGCAAGACCAAATCCATCGCGGCACCATTTTGCCGTAGCGCCCCAGTGTCTGGCATCCGAGGCTGCTGGAATAAGTTCCAGGCACGCTGTTGGCAATCACGCCGAGAGACATGACCACAGCGCACGCCTTGCCGAACCCTTGCAGTGGCGCAAATGCTGCCACGATCAACGCACCTGCGCTGACCGCGTTGGCTTCCGCCCAAGCAGGGCGATGCGCTATGCCCGTGGCCAGTCCGATGGCAACTAGGTAGACCAAGCTGAAGGCAGTCCAGAGTCCGGCCAGCGTGAGGCAAAAGATGCTCCTACGTGACGTCTTTTCGGGGTAGTAGACGTAGAAATCGGCGGCGGCGGCGGCCCATGAGTTTGGCACGTACGAGCATAGACTAAAATACGTCAGACGAGCCGCTGCTAGTTGCGCGCCAAAGACGGTGTTCGGTGCTGCGGTATCAAAATATGGTCCTGCACATCCAATGAGAATCGAGAGAACAATGACTTGGGGAAGCCAGGCATATCTGCCATGATCAAGTCAGCAATTAGAAGCAAGTCACCGTGCGTTTGGCCCCAGAGGCTGCTGGACCAGCTGGTGGCGAGGTGTGCCCTTACCGCTCATAAATCTGAAAGGGATACATGCCAAACGTTGCAATGACCCAGCAAACAGCACTAATCACCACAACACCTACTGCAATGCTCATACCGCCGCCGCTAACGGCCGAGAGTACCTGGCCAGCGATGATGGCGTCGATTGTGCAGTACCCAATCATGAGGATGATGTTGAGAAGACATGGGATTTTTGCCGGCCAGTATCCCATGAAAAACCGTAAAGCTACCTGGCGTTCAAACAAGAGCGTCAGTCATTTCGCCAGACGGCCCATCCAGTACGTATCGCGCCGCACCCGCAGCACGTACCATGGTGCGATTACCGCTTTGTGGTCCCCAAGTGCACATGTATGCTGTAGAGAGGCTGCCGAAAAAGGCCCCCGACACCGCGCAAACGGCGGCATCGCGGAAACCGAGCCCGAGGAGCAAGGGCCCCAAAAGGCCAGCCCCAAGGTTGTTGAGTGACAGGTTGGCGCTCAGCCAAAGCAAAAAGACTTGCACATGGTTGGAAAGCGACGGGGCGTGGCGCTCCTCAGGGGCCACGCGCCGAATCCCGCGCGATTCGAAGCCCGCGAGTCCTTCCACCCAAGCGCTCCATCGCTGTAGTTGCGAGGCGAATCGTGGGCCGTGACTCTCCGCTTTCGTCGTGTTTGGTGACTGTGTCTCCGCGAACCTGAGAGAAGCGCTCGCGGAATCATGGTTTCGAAGGGCCGACATGCTACCAGGCGTCTCTAGCAGCAGAAACGGCCATTACTGTTTAGAAAAGCAGATAAGGAAAAAAAAGTGACTATAACATGATTGACAACCGCTTTAATATAACGGCTAATAAATAGGCTGCGAGAGAGGGCGAATCGGAGACTTAAATTTAGTGGCGTAGATTTACATACTAATTTATCACAAACAGAGCGGAGAAAAACACAGGCCTGGAAATGAAGTAGCAGTACGAGGTTACCAGTAAGGGCAAGGAGGGAGTGGTGGAACAGCTAGGAGATGTCTAGAATAACTGTCAAAAATAAAGCAAGTGTCTAGATTTCACAGCTGGAATAATACTATATACGTCACATTGATAATGAGGGACCAGCGTTGGTAGATTGCTTCGCCCAAGGCTGCACTAACTAACTACTAGTACATTTCGCTCGCTCCCACAGTCCTCGGCAATCTTCAAGCCACCCGTCATTACCCCCGCACGCCCCTCACGAATATACCGATAAACATACGTCGTCACAAATATGCATGACTACAGGTCTCTCTCTCGCACATATACATGGTCTTTGATATGCCTTTGCCCCGTCAAGTATCACCAGATGCCTTTGTCAAGCAACCCTTTGACTACATTGTCATCGGAGGAGGCACAGCCGGGATCGCCGTTGCGTGCCGCTTGGCTGAGCGCAAACACTTGCAGATCGGACTGATTGAAGCTGGCAGGTCAATCGGCAACGACGAAAATGTAAACGTCCCAGCAATCTACGGTCGTTCGATCAGTGGGGAGATTGATTGGTGTCACCAGACGATTCCGCAGGCTGGCCTCGGCGGCAGAAAACTCCTGTGGCCGCGCGGGAAGGCGCTGGGGGGGACAAGCTCGATAAATTTCATGGCCTGGGTGCGTGCAAGTCGCCAAGACTACGATGCATGGGAAGCACTAGGTAATCGAGGCTGGGGGTGGGACAGCCTGCTGTGAGTTTTGCGTCTCGCTCAAGCCGCGATGCGTCAACTAGGTGGCCGCTCGACGAGCTAATATCGTCATGTGCGCAGGCCCTTTTTCAAAAAGTCAGAAACGTTCCACCCACCGAGTGAGACTCTCGCCACCAACTTTGACGTGAGACATGATGCGAGCTCTCTTGGAACAGGCGGCCCTATACATATCTCCTACAATGAAGAGTACTCGGCGTCGCACTGCCTTTGGCATCAAACGCTGAATAGCGTTGGCATTCCTACCAACGTCGCTCATACGGCAGGTTCAAACGTTGGCGTATGGACCAACATCAGCAGCGTCGACCCAAGGACGGCAACGAGGTCGTACGCGACGAGTTACCTTGATTCCGGGTCGCACGCACCCAACCTTCATATCCTCACAGACGCACAGGTCAAACGCATCATTTTGCAAAGCGATGGAGCCAAGTGTACTGCAAACGGGGTTGTTTTTCAGTGTGGAGGGCTCGAATTCGAGGCATTGGCATCGCGAGAGATTGTTCTTTCGGCTGGCAGTGTTCAATCCCCCCAGATACTCGAGCTGTCAGGCATAGGAAATCCTGATATATTAGGGGATGCAGGCGTCAAAGTCCATGTCAAAAGTCCCATGGTTGGAGAAAATTTGCAGGACCATATCAGTACGTTTCTCTTGAATGCACCAGTCAGCCGCGAATCGGGGATAATTTCTCACCACATACAGTGCTTGCCACTATTTTCGAAGTAGATCCTTTGCTCCCCAATCCGGATGATCTCTTGGTCGACAATATTTACGCGACAAAAGCGCGACAGGAATACGAGACAAGGCAATCTGGACCATGTACAGTCCTCCCTTGCGCCCTCTGCTACGTCCCGCTCAAGGAATTTGTACCCCAGGCGGTGCTTGCCGACTTGAAGAAACGCGCGCAGGCTCACTCTGCATTCAGCGCTGCGAAAAGCGCCATCGTTGTGAATCGTCTTGGAAACGACACGAATCTCGGTCATGTAGAGTACATCTTCGATCTGGGGAACTGGAGCCCCTCGTTCAAAGGCGAAGCAGGCAAAAAGTATGGCACAATGCTTCAAATACTTCAGTACCCCTTTTCGGTAGGATCTATTCACATCAGGCCGGATGGCAGCCGCGATGATGATGAGAGCCCGGCGACAGAGCTTCACATCGACCCAAGATATTATCATGGTGAGCACGGCAAGCTGGACGTCGAGGTCATGCAGCAGGCCTTCCATTTCCTCGAGAAGATTGTTACGACAAAGCCGTTAGCAAACATTATTCGCTGCCGTGTGGCTCCGGCCGAGGATGTCAAAGATGGCGAGAGAATGCGTCATTGGATCGCGCAAAATACTATGACAGACTGGCATCCGGTTGGGACATGTGCCATGGGCGGCCGTGCGGGCATTTCTGGCGGTGTCGTCAACGAGAGGTTGCAGGTGTACGGTGTCAGAAGTCTGCGTGTTATTGACGCCAGTATAATGCCTTTACAGATAAGCGCTCATATTCCACGGTCTATGCCATTGCAGAAAAGGGTGCCGCCATGATACTTGAAGATTTGGACAGTGGCGCAGACGATTGGTTGAAGAGTTGATGCTCCAGCAAAGACTGTATGATGGCAGATATGTGATGGATTCTACGTGAATATTCTATATATATTGATCCATTATCCGGTATTTTTTATGCATCCCGTTGGCTACTTGCAATTCGGTTGGCCGACAACACTTGCATTGTAGTAGCCGTTACAATAACGTATTATGGGCTGTCTATGCGTGGGGGCACTTCGGTCAACGAAAACGGAAGATGCGTGATACACAAGCAGCCCCGTTATGAGCGCATGATACGGACAGAATATGAAAATAGACGTACTGGTGCTGCACGAGTGGACAAGATTGTAATTTTTAACGGGTGAAACTAGACCGGCGATCGAAAGGCGTGACGGTATGCTGTAATTTGTACGTGGGAAAGACAGCCCAAACCTCAAGTGTGAGAAGAGATTCAGTCATTCTGTATGGGTTGCAATACCTGGTGTTGATTGGCAGAAACAGGAAGCTGAGCCTTTAGGGTGTGTGTTACAGGATCGCGATGTGCACAAGAAATGCAGCACAGTGGACACGGACAAGGAAACAATTGGCTGGCAGGGTGAAGTTGCCCCTTTCTGTTGCCCAACCCTGGCCCTCCGTTGTCCAATTTATTAATAACGTTGAAATCAATGTTTGGGGGCAGATGGGGTACAGGAGGCTAATGCTGGTGTCGTCGAGCGACTGCCTAGTTGGGTCAAGGCTGAGCGGAGCAGCAGTGAGACGGGCGCAGGCTCAAATTCAAGAATATTGGCATGATACGGATAGCCGCGCAGAGGAGAATGTAGTTGCAGGGTTTCATCCGGACAGGGGTTGATGTGCATACGAGACACGGGCATGCGGGAAACGGGATGCAACAGGGAATAGGTACAAATTATAAAAAGAGACAAGACAGGAGAATGAAGCACAGCTCTGCATATACCAGTACGAATTGATTCACACGAATTAATTAACAATAAATGACCGCTGCGGCTGTCAGAGTTTTTTGGCTGTTTGAGCGGCCCATCCCACCCTTGATAATAAATTGGGTACTTATTAATATTATGGGTTTGTCTGTGTGGTGCGCACCATCTCCACAAGGCTGTCCAAGCACGCGACACTGAGGATGCAACTGGTGCTTTTGTACACTAGCGACTTGCGATTGATAAAACAAATTGTCTACGGCTCTTTGTAATAATAATAATAATAATACGAGACCATCACTAGTGTCGATTTTAGGGCTTTGTTATCCGAAGAAAAGTTTGTCAGGGGACGGCAGGCACCGTTTGCCACAACAGTGTGGCGCCGGCTTCTCCACTTTCAGCCAGTCCGTAAGAGGCATCGAGTCACGCAACCTGCAGTATGCAAAAGAGCCACTGGAACGAGTAGACAAAGAGGGGAGCTGGAAAAGGGAAGATGGAAGCCCTTGTTTTGCTCTAATAAGACAGGTTGCAGATTTCTTTATGCTTACACTGCTGTCATGAGAACGAGAACCGTGATGCCCTTTGTATTACAGCCGTGGCCCCTGCACCTTGCTAATAGGTCGGGGCTCGGGCTCGGGCTCCATGGCTCCAGACTGGCAGCCACCAACAAGAACCCCTTTGTGCGCGGTCCCGCCCTGACCATCACGCGACACTGGACATGCTAGTCGCCCAACATGGGACGGACCCTGCCAAACTTGGAGTACGAAGTCTAATATACTACTTCAACTGTTCCAGCAAATAAATTGCGGCTGTAATTCGTAGACTCAGCGCATTACTCCGTATGAAGGCACGAATTGCTTCAGGAAACCTCCTTCAGTTGGATCCCGTTTTGTATCTTTGTTGCCAGTGCTCAATGCCCTGCAGCATCATGTCGAATTTTTTTTACGGGGGCTATAACTAACTCATCTGCCAAGGTACCGTCGGCCTACCGGCCAATCCAACGGCTAGGTACATGGGTAGTTTAATCCTGGAATGGCTGCTCTTGCCAGCCTTGTTGCGGAGCATTAATATAGAAAAAACGTCTTGGCCCTTCTCATCTTGACCCCCATCCTCCACCCCCTCCTGCTCCTCCTCCTAGCGCACCTGGCTTCACACTCTTTTTTCTTCTCTCGTGCGCCTCTACAGATTAACTATCTTCTGTCTACCTTCTTTTCTTCTTCTTGTCTTCGTTTCGCTGCTTGCTTGCTCTGTTCTTCGCCAAGCATCGGGCTCGCCCACCCGGCCACGCACACAAACATTCGGCAGTCTGGGCTGCAAACGGCCACTGACCGTCTCCCGTTTCCTGTCGACAACTATCCCGTTTACTATCGACGACTCTAAAACCTTCCGCCATGGACCGCTTACGCCGTCTCCTTGGCACCATAGCCGCTCGGTTCGCCAACCGCCGCTATGTCTTCGCAGTCGCTGTAGTCAGCGTCGTCGCCGCCAAGGCCGTACATATCGACGCCCATCTCAAAGCGCTCTCCCCGACCGACATGGTGCAATGGGGCCCATCCTTCTTCTTCCAGGACAGTATACTGCTCCTGGCAATTCGCGCCATGCTCTTTGCCCAAGGTCCCTGGGCCGCCGCCATCGGAACCACGCTCTCTTCCATCCTCGTCCTCGTCTGCCTCGCCCTCGCCTCCATCAACATCTCCTTCTTCGCCGTCGCTGGCAACGAACTACATTGGCGCAATGTTGCTCTCGCCGGTGACTCCTCTTCTTGGAGTACCCTCCTCACCGGCCTCTTCTCCCTTGGTGTCACCCTCACAGCAATCCTCCTCGCAAGCTGGCTCTTGCAAGATATCTGCTACATCGTCGCCACTATTGCACTCGATATTCTCAAGTTTCCCTTCACCTTCGTTTACTCGCGCCTCATAGGCAATCGTCGCCGTTCATCTGCCACTCAATATACAAATGTGCCCCAAAACGACGCCGAAAACGCCCTCGAGCATCGCTATACCGACGACGAGATCGATCCCTCCTCCGAGCCCAAGATGACCCAGCCTCCCCGACGCCGCAGTACTCTCTTTGGTATCGCCCTCAACCTCGGCATTGGCTTCGGTCTGCTCGCCCAGCTTGTTTCCTACGTCGCCCGTCCTGACCAAACCTCGGTCACTTTCATGTCGTGGACCCTACCCCTTGTTCCCTTCATGGACTTTGCTCATGCCGCCCCAAACCTAGCCAACCTGCTCACATACCATGGTCAGAATTTCCATTTTGACAACCTGACAGCTCTGACCCACCCCGTTCCTCTCCCCTGGCTCCCCAAGGACGTCAAGCTGCCCGGGTTTGAGGACTGGCATGATCACAGGGAACACTACAACGCCGAGGCCGACCCCATCAAAATATCTAATCTCAAGGATCCCCTTCTCGAACCACTCCACGGCGTTCTTAAGGACGTTTCCATCCGCAACATTATCCTCATCAAGCTTGAGAGCACTCGCAAGGATGTGTTTCCTATCAAAAAGGGCGGCTTCATCTGGAACAAGTTTGAAAAGTCGTTTGAGAACGGCACACTGCCCGAAGCAGCCCAGCAGCGCCTCGCTACCTTGACTCCGAATGCCAACTACATCACTGGTGACTACGATGACGGCTTCGACCACGACGAGCGACGTCGCCGTGGCGGCATCAACGCCAACAACTGCCACACCACCGGCACATACACCCTCAAGAGTCTGCCCGGCACACTCTGCGGCATTACCCCTCTAGTAGCCGACATGAACCAAGAATACCAAAGTCACGTCTACCAACCCTGTCTCGCCCAGATCTTTGATGCCTTCAACGCCATTGACCATTCGTCAGACCGCAAAAGTGACGGTTTCAAGTCGTACAAGTGGAATTCCATGTTCATGCAGTCTGTCACCCACTCTTTTGACAAGCAGGACAAGCTCATGCCCGTCATGGGCTATCCAGACGGCCGCTTCATCGACTCCGAATACCTGCGTTCCGACAATGCGAAATTTGGCAAGAGCGATATCGAAGACATCAACTACTACGGCATGCCAGAAAACGCCATTGCAGAGTACGTCAAGGATGCCTTTGCTTCGGCCAAGAAGAACAACGAGCGCGTCTTCCTCACTCACCTCACGTCTACCTCTCACCATCCCTTCGCACTCCCCAAGGGTGAGCCCTACGTCAGTCTCAGCGAAGATTCCGGCCTGCAAGACCTTTCGGGGTACACCAACGCCGCCGGCTTTGTCGACCGCTGGCTGGGGCAGATTTTTGACATTCTGGAAGAGACTGGTGCCGCCAACGAGACCTTGATTGTCTATGTTGGTGACCACGGGCTGTCTATTGCTGAAAACGCCGCCGTCACGCCCTACTACCAGCCCAACATCGGCAACTTCCACGTTCCACTTGTCCTCTCGCACCCGTCTTTGCCACCTATTGATGTCAATGACGTTGCCAATTCGAACATGATTCTCCCCACAATCCTCGATCTTCTGATCGAAACCGGTTCTCTTGGTGCCAGCGACACCAAGGCTGCGCGGGACTTGGTCAAGAACTATGAGGGCCAATCGCTGATTCGTCCTCTACGCAGCCATGGTGAGCCCGCCGATGTGGGAGGCTGGCAATTCACCGTCATGAACCCGGGTCGCGCAACGCTCTCGGTGCGCGATGCTCGCCATCCAGACTGGCGCGTCGTCGTCCCGATTGTCGCGGACATTGAGTGGCGCTTCACCAACACAAAAGAGGACAAGCACGAGGATGAGCCGATTGTGGATTTTGGCTATCCAGAATTCTTGAAAAAGGTGCAAGATGCCTTTGGCGAGGATGTTGCCATGTGGGTTGAAGAAGCAGCTTTTGTTTCTCGTTGGTGGGTGGACGATAATGCTCGGCGCTGGCGCTACGACGCGTCCTGATATTCCTTCTTGATCAAACACAAGACACGTACGACAAGCGAAGTCCTTTTTTTTCTGTTAATCATAGCATCTGTACTCTAATTTGGCCAGGCGTTTAAAGGTATGCATTGCATTTGCATGGTTTGGGTACACGTTAATTCCCTTCTTTTTCTCCTTTTTTTAAACACTGTTAAACTATAAATATTGTCATTCCAGGAACATGACTTTGGCGATTTCCGTTCTGACGAGCCCGTTTTGTCATACTTGTATAGATTGGGCTATTAAACCGTGTCAATTTGTTTAAAAGTGTCTGTTTATTGAAATGTGCCCATGATTTAAAATGTGTCAATTTAGTAAAGTGTGTAGATTAAAGTGTGTCCATGTATTACCATGTGTCAATTTATTCGTCATGGCTACCATTCTCCGTGTTGTGACAAAGAGAGAGAGTGGTGCTAAGCCGTGTTACTCTTGACCAGAGCTACCAGCTTTTCGCCTAGCAAATCGACGTCGCCGGGAAACCTCGCACTGATGTAATTATACTTGTCGTCTTCAACCACAAACGGCGCGGGCGCCAAGCTCTTTTTGAAGTCTTGTGGCTTCTCCAGCACCTTGGTCACACTCTCCTCCACGTTGTCGCTACCCGCGCCGTACGTCTTGTAGTAGTCCCCGAGAAACAGGCGGGTACCCCAGAAGGCGAGCTGCTCGAAGCGGGTGGGCAGCGCCGTCGTCGTGACGCCGTGCAGGACGGATGTGCCGTCGCTCGACTTCGTTTCGGACAGGACCATGACGCCGTGGCAGACGGCGCCGACGGCCGTTTTGCTCGGCTTCTTGGTCTGCGGAAAGTACGTGGCGAGGAGGGCGTGCACCGCGTCTGCGTCGATGACTTGCCGCACGCCCTTGTCGTGCCCGCCGGGGAGGAAGACGAGGTCATACGCGGAGAGGGTGAAGGCGGGGTCGGACCAAGATGCGGGGGAGGTCCACTCGGCGGACGCGGCCATGGTCTTGTACTGCGCGATGACGGACCTTTTGGCGCCCTGCGTTTGATGTAAGTACCGCTGTCTTGTTGGGGGGGGGGGCGACGCACGAGAATAGCTTGGGTAATGCCCTCGAGCATCTTGGTGTCGCATTGTGGAACGTTTCCAGTTTCGGTGGCGAATGTAATGCGAAATCCAGCTTCCTTGAACGCGGTAAAGGGCACGGCCGCCTCTGTACGAGGAGATCAGCGGGCGAGCAAGGGAATTGCCTGTAGACAGCTCACCAGAAGGGTCGTGCATAGTCTGCCATGAGGAAGACGACTTTTGCCATTCTGCTAGAATTTGATCTGGGAGGTTGAAAGAGGAGGAAAATCGGAATCGCAGATGGATAGCGCGCTTTCAAGAGGGGACTCACGTTAGAGTAGGCCGAGTGCACATAATGATTTAATTTGGGACGGACATCGGCATTTTTTTCTGCACGCCGGCTTCTCTGCCAACGGTCATGATAAAAGGCCAGAGAATCGTCATGGTCTGAAAGCCGACGCTGAGAATCGCCATGTCAATGGGACATAAGAGTCTTGTTAGACTGTCTAACCTTATGGCCCTGGGGGGGATAGTCGGTTGTAGGGTAGCAAGCCAACACGCCTCTTTATCGGATCAAAGCAACGCTTTTGCTCATTATATCCATGAATGAGCGGATAGAAACGAACAATTAGCTACGCGAGTAGCCGAAAGATCTAGCATTTAGTCGTCAGTACTTTTGTGATGCACTAATGAGATGGGATCAATCTTCTCCTGGTAGCTCTTGTGCTTACCACGGCGGCTTACTAGCGATGACTGCTGTGCATTTGGGTGTTGTATGCAGCAGGTCAGCCAAGGGCTCTTCGAAGATGGATTAATCGTCATGAAAGAATATGTGTCGGTATCCTGGACCGGAATCCCATTTTTCTAGGTTGTGCAAAAAAAGTCTGTAGTTATTATCCTTTGGAAGATGACATAGCAGATGGGTCCGATGGCCAATAGTGAGTGATTCATGAACAGAGTTGTAGGAACCGACAGACTGTGCCCCCAGCAGTGAATTAGTCCCCAAATGATGAAACACATCATGACCGAATATGCCACCGAAATGTCCTATTTGCACTTACAAGGCCATGGACCGACGGGCGGGTAACAGTGGAGAGCGGCGCTGACGGCGCTGCGGCGGAATTTCGGGCTTGGGGTTCGGCGCGCTGCTAGGCACGGGTGGCAAATTCAGGAACTTCAGAGGCAAGCTTGGGCCATTTGATACAGCACAGTGAATCAAGTTGCCTTTGGATTTATCACGAGATGTATGATGTATGTACTAGGCAGTCAGCCACCGCCATTGCCAGTAGTTGCGCACTTGGATTCGAAGTCAGAGGATAAGCCGGCGCGTTCCACTGCATTGATGTTACCATAAGTGCAGCGAATGACATGTCCAGCCTCTCGAGTCAGGACTGGCGGCATTATTCTAGAACGAAGAAAGGATATGGGCGCAGAAACCCTATTTGCTGGGCCAGAGCACTCTGCTGTTGCAAATCTCTGCGAGCACGCCATCACTGGCTTGTCCACTCGTCTCCGCTTAACCCCCCGGCCATGCCCTCCGCATCGGTCCTGGCCGGACTGGGCCTGTCATTCGTCGTCAGCTGGACGAGCGGGCGCTACCTTTCCTCTCAGCTGTCGCGTGCTGATCCTTAGTTCGACTTGTTTATATCTTTTGCTGCTTCTTGAGTCTTGAGTCTCCGACGTCCAGCTCTCGCGCCCAGCTTGCGCCAGCGTCTTCTTTCTCTCCGGGCTAACGCACGCGAGCATCCATCCTCGCTGACCCCCACGCCTCCGCCTCCGCCGTCGTCCCCGCGCCGTAGTACATATAACACGGGCGAAACGATGAAGCCCATCAACGCCACCTCCACCACTACTGGGCTGGGCGATCCGGTGACCGAAAAGGACAGCAGCGGCAAGTTCAGCCCCGACGCCGACGTCGAGGGCCTCAGTCCTCGCGATGCGGGCTCCGTCGCCGAGGGCCACATCCAGCAGGACCGCCTACGGCGCGCCCTGTCGGCGCGACAGGTGCAGATGATTGCCATTGGCGGCACCATTGGCACCGGGCTGTTCCTGGGCACCGGCAAGTCGCTGGCGACGGGCGGGCCGGCCTCGATGCTCCTCTGCTACGCCATTGTCGGCGCCATTGTCTTTGTGACGATGCTGTCTCTGGGCGAGATGTCGGCCTTTATCCCCGTCGCCGGCAGTTTCTGCACCTTTGCAAGGTATGTGACCAAATGGGCGCCACGGCGCCTCCCGTCTTGGCAAGAACGGCACGCCAAGAATAGAAGAAGCAAAGAAAAGGGAAATCGGCACTGACACACGTCTTAGCCGCTTTGTCGACGACGCCTTCGGATTCGCCCTCACCTGGAACTACTGGTTCAACGACGCCGTATCCACGGCCACCGACCTCGTCGCCCTGCAGCTGCTCCTCGACTACTGGCACACCAACTTCCCTGGCGTCGCCTTCAGCCTCATCTTCTGGGTCGTGCTCATCGCCGCCAACATCATCACGGTGCGCGCCTACGGCGAGCTCGAGTACTGGCTGTCGCTGCTCAAGATCCTCACCATCATCGCCTTCATCTTTGTCGGCATCGCCGTCAACGCCGGCGGCAACACGGAGCACCGGTACATTGGCGGCTCCAACTGGCACATCCCCGGCGCGCCCTTTGTCGGCGGCATCGGCGGCTTCGCGTCCGTCTTCGTGACGGCGAGCTTTGCCTACGGTGGCACAGAGTCCATTGCCATTACCGCGGGCGAGACCAAGGACCCGCGCCGCAACATGCCGCGCGTCGTCAAGAATGTCTTTTGGCGCATCCTGCTCTTCTACATCCTGTCCATCCTCCTCATCGGCCTCAACGTGCCGTATACTAGCGATGGCCTCAAGAACAAGGACTCGCGCACGTCGCCCTTTACCCTCGTCTTCCAGATGGCCGGCGCAGAAGTGGCGGGCAGCATCATCAATGCCGTCGTCATGACCAGTGTGCTGTCGGCCGGAAACCATGCCTTGTTTGCCGGATCTCGCTTGTTGTACACGCTGGCGTTGCAGGGCCATGCGCCACGCGTATTTGCGCGATTGAATAGAGGCCAAGTCCCGTGGGTTGCCGTCCTCGCCACCAGTTTCATCGCCGGATTGTGTTTTGCCTCCAGCTTTATCGGAGCCGGTCAGCTCTGGGCGTGGCTTCAAAAGTAAGTGACGAATTCTTTATTTGTAGAGCGTCGACTGACAGGGACAGCATTGTGGGTGTCTCGAACCAGCTCAGCTGGATCGCCATCGGCATCGCTTCCATCCGTTTCCGTAGCGGTCTGGCAGCCCAAGGGAAAACACATCTCTTGACTTTTAAGAATTGGACATACCCGTGGGGGCCTTGGTTCTCCGTCATTCTGAACAGCTTTCTGGTTCTGGTGCAGGGTTGGACCTCATTCAAAGACGGGTTCCACGCTGTCGACTTTGTCAGTCTATACGTCGAGCTGCCCGTCATGCTGATCATGTTCTTGGGTTGGAAGTTTTACAAGCGCACCAAATTTGTCAAAGCAGAGGAGATGGACCTCGAGACGGACGTGTATCACGACGAACCCGAGGAAGAAAATCTGGCACCTGCCTGGCAATCGAGGACCAAAAAGGTGCTCAACTGGTTGTTTTAGACGGTGCATACATTCAGCGCAGGCGTTGCATACCTACTTTGTTGTATATCCATGGCATACATTTAAAAATCAATTTGCCAACTAGGCTTGGCGCCTATGAACTGATTTCTATCCCGATAAAACTACAAAGTGCTTCAAGGCAGCGTGCATATATGTACGGAAGCATTCCTTTCAGCTTTCTGACTCGCCTTTTTGTCTAGGACCCAACTTGCAAGGCCCAGCCTCCTTCGGTCCATGACCCAACTTTTAAGGCGCAGCCTCCTTTTTCCCACGACCCAACTTCAAGGCACAGCCTTGAACCCGGCCTCAACAGGGTACGACGGGAATCCCCACGACACGCTGCGCTTCAGTAGCTCGTACTCGAGACCATGCGGGCCCGCATTGAGATACAAGAACTTGGTAAGTGGCACCATCGCCTGATAGCTAAACGGCGTGCCGGCGGGAATAAAGGCAACATCACCCTGCAGAAGATAGGTCTTCTTGTAGCCTTCAACCGAGAGCATGAGCTGGCCATCGTCCAGCTGGATACCCAGGTGGTTGGGTAGTGTGACGCGGGACTCAGTCTCGTCGCTCACCTCTTGGACATGATAATGGTGCCCATGGTAAAGTTGTGGTTGTGCGAGTTGTCGACTGTCGAGATAGGCTGAATGACTTTGTAGCCGTTATCTGAGTTGAGGAACTTGGGACCGTAGTTGTTGGCGATAAAGTACGGCTTAGTAGGATCCGTGGGCAGCTCGTTGGTACCATTGTGCCAGTTCAAGCCCGCGGAGCTTGCCGTGCCATTGACAAAGTCGCGACGTGGGACATACTCGTCATCAGGCACGGCAAAGAGGTCCAGCGGCTCAAGCTGGGCCGTCAGCTCGGGCGTCATGGGCCCATACGGCTGCTCATCGACCGGGTCCGGAACGTACGGTGCGTGCGCCTCGGACGAGAAGCGTCCGGACGAGACGTCGTCGAACAGCTTCTCGAAACCGGCCGGGTGAAAGGCGTGCGTGAGCTGCGAGTCAGGGTCGACGAGCTGGAAGGTGTGGATAGTGCCGGGCGGGACATTGCCATAATCGCCGAAGCTCGCGACGCGGGCCTCGTCCTCGTTACCGGCCGTCGTGTTTCGCTTGGTCCACAGCTCGACGCGACCGCGGGAGCAGTAAAAGTGCTCGTGGTACGTCTTGTGCACGTGGGGACGCGCATTCAGCCACGTGGTCACCTTGCCGTTGTGCTGCACCAGGGAAAAGGCCCCGCCGGAGGAGTTGGCGGTGATGGAAAAGGTAATGGTTTGCGTCTTGGTGAGCATGATGGCCTTGCCGTGGAAGCGTGGCAGTACATACGGACGCACAAAATCGGGCGCCGTCTCGACGGTGAGCGTCTTGTTGCCAGCACAGGCGCCGCCGGCGCTCTCCGTGCCGGGCACGAGTGCGGCCAGGACAGCCAACGCTACTCCAGAAAACTTCATGATGGATGTTTGAGAGACAGCTGGACAGACACAGAATAGTAAAGACAGAGAGGAACGGTTGAGTGACCCCTTTGAGACGGGACGTCTGCAGAGGTTTTATACACTTGGATCGTATAAGTCCTGTCAGCGAAGCTTTGCTGCAAAGGGCAGGCACCCAGAAACAATGCAACTAATAACTATGCGCAAGGTCATCCCACACGCATAATGGGCAGATTTTTCCGAGGGAGCCGTGCTACCACGGACAAGACGAGCAATGCACCAAGAAGCTAACGTATAACTGAGTAGTAAGCTGCCCACTGATTCATGTAAATATTCCCCGTCGCCTTGCCGGCCATCCCTCAGTGGCAGATGACGGATTAAAGCACCCATCTGCAGGGAGCTAATCAGGTAATATGCTTTCTTGGCATCAAAACCGGGGAAGTGGGATGTGAATTAGATTCAGTACCTATGCTATTATTGTGAGTTATATATTTATACGTGACATGTGAGCGCGGACCAGCTCCTTATTTCCCCGGTGAACCAGCAAGACAGACGAATTTGCGACCCACCTGGTTCTCGAGCGAATTGAGAATCAGGTTCCAGACATTACAGTCATACGCCTCGCCAATATGACCGACGAAATCGTATGGGCAGTAGTCCTGGACGTAAATGTTGTTGACGCCGTCCTCATGGACGAAAGCCGTCGTGGGGGGCGTGACGAGCTCGTCGTATTTGGAGATGATGATGGTGACCTTGTTGCCGGGCTGGACAATCGGGCCGGCGTTGAGCTTGGCGATGCTGGGTCCGTTGACCGAGATCTCGTCGCATGGTGCGCAGCCTACCTTTTCCAAGATGGCGCCAATATCCTTGCGCGCGTCCTGGCCGAAAAGCGGCGCGAGCTTCCATAAGTTGGCAAAGCTTGTGCCATGCGTGGGCGGAGCAATGGCGACAATGTGCTCAACGACGGCAGCGACGCCCTCGCGGAACTTGGGCACGTACAGCGCCTGGAAGCCGCCCTCGGAGTGGCCGACAATGTCGATCTTGCTGGCACCCGTCTTGGCGTGCACGTCAAGTATCAGGTCGGAGATTTCATGCGACGACTCGTCGATGGGCTTGAGACCCCCGACAAAGGGGAAGCCGTCATAGGCACCGTACGTCAGGGAAAAGGTGCAGAACCCCCTAGCCTGGAGGAAGGCCTCGATCAGGTTAATGTCCTCGTAGTAGGTGGCGCCCAAGCCGTGAAGCAGCACCACGGGGTTGGGATGGTTGGCGCTGGGCTTGCACGAAAAGTCGTTATGCCTGGCCTGGCGCATCTGGAGGTCCGCCGGCGTCGTAGGGCCAGCGGAAACCACGGAAGCAAGCCCGGCGGCGAGGGCTATGGCAGCCTTGAGATGCATGGCAATGACTAGCGAGAATCTGGGAAAAGGGGTTGGTGACAGTCCACAGAATCGAGGGAACCAGTACCATTATAAATATTCAGCGTCAGCCCAACTTGAATCAGCTAACTAATCAAAAAGCAATTGGAAAGACAAGGCTTTCTCTGCCCCTCTGGAACAGCCACAACGCCACAACACTAGTACGTAAACGTAAAAGGTTGCGAGTGAATCGACTCACAAATTTGGGCTCTCCATCAAACTAGTTAGCTATTTCTCAACTAGGTACGATTTACTCGTACTGAAGGAAATATCCAAGGTTCAGTTGCCATCACGGGGGGAACAAGCCGAGCCCAATATCTTGGCGGAAACTGGTGGTTTCCTACGTGACGACGGTTCTGCAATGCGCTTACTAGCAATGTCAAGCAGGCTGCAAGGGTACTTTTTTAGTGGTCTCGGCCCTCCCAGGCCCTGGATTCTATCAGCCTGGCCCTTCAATGGTAACTATGCTGCAGCAAAAGCTTGAACAGGCAACGTGATTAAATAGGACATGGAAGCCAGACAGATCGCCTGGCAACGCTGGCGGATCTTCGCTTCGCGAAAAAAGCATCGAAAGATGACCCTTAGCGATCTCCTTTGTGCCAAGCCACGAATGCGCGATGTCGACCATCAGCTTCAATTACCGAAGCTGAATACGACGTCGACTCTCAGGTCGGCGAAATGACGACTCCCAGGGACCATCCAGAACTTGTTGTTGGAATGCTCAATCAATACCACACTGCATATACATTTCATGCCTTTGTCGAAAGAACAGACGGGCAAATACAATCCCCTGACCAGAAACATCATTCTTCAAACTATGACTACTCACACGCCAGGGTGCTGTACATGTTGGTGTGGCCCTTGAGGTACTCCTCCATGGTAGGGCTGTCGCTCTCCGCCTCTGGGCGCGATCGGCGCAGTTTATCCTCAATCGCCCACGAGACTCGCTCCGCGCCAATCATGGCGCCACCAATATTCGCCGCTCCAGGGCCGAGCCGCAATGCGGCCAGCCTTCCCACCATGAAGAGTGGCACATCCTCGTTCCACATCAAGTCGTCATTGAGGCACGGAAATCCCCCAAAGCCCTGGACAGGGTATTTCTGCAGAATTGTCTGCATGTATGGCAGCGACGTAAAGTCTGTCTGAATTCCGGTCGCAAAGTACATGAAATCCATCGGCGGAAGGTCGGTGGGGGGTTCCGTTGTGATGTGCCACTGGCCGCCCTCCTTGCCCTCGCGCTGCTGTTCAAAACGAGCATCGACAATGCTGGTTCTGGTACTGAGATGGACCTTGCCGGCGGCAATGTGCTTCTTCAGGATCTTGTGATAGGTCGGCGTAAGGCTGCCGCCACCGCGCGCCGTCTTGATCATGTCCAGTCGCTCCTCGTCAGAGTCGGCAAGCCAGAAGCGGGCCTGCTCGGTATTCTTGTACTTTCCCATCCACTCGAGACTCAGGTCAAACAGCTTCACCCGGCATGGCCCCCGCATCAAGTGCCAGACCTTGGTGACGCCGCGGCGGATGGCGAGGTCGCTAAGTTGGGCAGACGTCAGACCACCGCCGACCACAACGACGTTTGTCTGCTGCTTAGCATGAATTCGGCGCTTAAGATAGGGATCCGGGAACTCCTTTACTTGCAGACTATGGCAGACCTGCGGATATTGACCATTGGTCGCGTTGGGCATGGATGGAATAGATGGCACCTTGGGAACGTTGGCGGCACCTACCGCCATGACGACAGTTCGTGCGTAGTGAAGCCCCTTGTCCGTTTCTATGGTAAAGAGCTGCCCTGGCTCATCGGGCAAGGCGTCCACAAATCCAAAGTCCAGATTCCGAAGAGTCTCTTGTTGTAATACACCGGTTTCGAGCTCGTAGCGTTCCGTTACTGAAGCACAATGGTCTTTGAACACTCCTCTTGACGGCGTGAAGTAGTCGTTCTTTTCTCGTACGTTAATCGCCACTCTAGCGGCTTGCCTGTTTGGCATTAGCGTTTTGTTAGCAGATTAGGAGGGTTGTCACATACTTGCCGCCGCAGTGGCGACCGGCTGCTTTCTTATGCCCATGCTTGCTGACTTCCTTGCCGACGCAATTTCGGATCTCGACCAGTTCACTCTCACGCCCGTTTTCGTATGCATAGGCAAGTAGAGAATCCCGATCAAAAGGATCGGCGTGCCATAGCATCGGGCTTCGAAGATGCGAAATCTCATAGGTGTGGAAAAGGTAGTGCCAGCGCGCCAGCCACTTGTCCGCAGTAGCATCCAGGACCATCATGTTGTAACCAGGCCCTTCTCTCGGTCGGCGGGTCTTGATCTTGCCGCTCTTCGTCTGTTTGACCGAGACTTTGCTGCCGTGCTTTCCAATCCATCGGAAACGGCGATGCTCCTCGTCGGTGAAGAGGGCTGATGGTGTCTGCTCACGCAGACGAGCGGCCATGGCGAGGCCGCAGACGCCACCACCGACGACGACGACGTCGTAAATATCCTGACCAGTCATTTCGCAGTGTTAAGTGCGGCCTTGGGTGGCTGTAGAGTTGAGCAATGGCTCACAGTTTTTCCACACTTGCAGCAGGGCTGACTACTGTTGGCGCAACTACCGTTCTTATATAATATAGGTGTCTTAGAACCCTGATGGCTATACTGGCAGTTCGAAGTTGCCTTTATTCTCTATGTGTTCCCAATTGTTACACCTTTGAAGGATACCCGGATGGCCGCTGGCCATCCGGGTACTCTTCGGACGCACGCATTACCAAGTTGATGTTCCTCGCGAATGAGAAAATTGACAGAGGTTGTCATTAACAGTTTCTATAAAATTTAAATATAAATACGACGTGTCTTATAGTTTATTCTAAGTTGCCGTTGTCGTTGTGTCGATACTCGTCCGCTATGCAGACGGCTCGACACCTCGACACAGGCGCTCGCGTAACCAAAGGTAAAATATCAAGGGAAGATACCCAATGATTAGCACATAAAAAGTGCTATTAATTGGTCCACAAAGCGCTATTTATTTCCACCTGCGAGATCCTCATGCAGTGCTGTTCCGCTCTTAAAGGGCGACTCGTCTATGCGACATGATCCAGTTCTGGCGTTTCCTCATCAATAGAGCCGCCATGGACTAGTGGTCTTGGGGGCGTCTTTCGCGACCTACCAACTCCGACTTTGCAAACAGGTTGTCGATTTCCTCCAAAGTCTCCCAGTGGTCTGTGAGCTCTCAGTTGGGAGCACGTTATCGAATTTGTTGAACCCAACCTCAAAGCGGCAGATGATGCGCCCGACGATAATCTGCGCTTGTTCAGTTGTGAACAAGTGTGTGCGATGATCGACTTTGTTGCGGGCTGAGTGGCATGAATATTGCTCTTGCTATCCCGTACAAATGTGAGCATTGAACTCGCTGTTTTACCGCTCGCAAGTTAGAGTTGGCGCATTTAGATGCCTGTACCACCAGGGAGGGAATCCCATAGTTCGTCGGTGGGCTAGGGGTCTTGTACCCAGATTTCACGGATGAGGTTTGCACCTCACAGTTTCTCCATCATCCTGAATCCTTGCGAAGAGCAGTGGCAGTTGCCTTCTCGCTCAGAAGGATCCCGATTGATGTTGATATGTGTCTAAAACCCTTCTGGCAACGGTGTTTTCAATTTCAGTAGTCAAGGGCTATTCAATCTGCGGCACCATAAAGTTTGAGAAGAACTGTGTCACGGCGGCCGGCTCCCCCAGCGGCCCAACATACGACACGTGTTGATCTGGGCGCACGATCACGATACAACCCTTCTCCGAAATGCCAAATCTCTTATAGAGATTGCCATGCCCCTCGTGGTAGGAGACGTCATCGACATAGATTTTGTCATAGTCGTACCCTTCGGTCTCGGAAAATCGCCTGAAAACAGAAGGAAAGTCGAAAATGGTGACGACGGTGCGCGGCGCCTTGTGCACCAGAAGAATGTCAAACACGGTGTCGACAGGGCCGCCTGTAGGCGTGAAGCGCGCCACAAAGGAGTCACTCGCGTCAAAGTTGCTAGCGACCGAGGCGAGCTGAGCGGCTTGCTCCTTGTCCTGGACGTTGCCCGGGAAGACGAGCACGCGCCAGCGACCGTTGCTGGGAAGCAGCTCCTGAAGGTGCCACGGGCGAGCGTCGGCTTGTCGGAGAACCTTGACGCTTGGGATGCGCATGCCGATCGGAAGTCCAGGCGCCAAGTCCTGATTTGAAGTCGGTCTATTCTTGTCACCACCCGCAACGATATCTGTACCGTCTCCCTCGACCGACCCATCGCCAACTTTAGCAACAATAGTGCTAGCCCCGTAGTCGACATTGGTTCCGCTCACGAACAAATTACCTTTTGTAAAAGCGTCCTTGAAATCCGCCATTTTTACACCCTCTGTATCTGTGTCGCCTAAGGAGGGACGGCCAGAGAAAAGACGCGAAAACTTGTGGTCGAATGCAATCAGATCTTGCGCCACCTTTCTTCGTTCGGACTGATATGTTTTCAGAATAGATCGACTGGCCAGCCCCTTGACCACACTCGCAATTTTCCATCCAAGATTGAATGCTGCGGCGGCGTTAGACTGGTGTCGCTTGGGAAGTAAATAGCGTACTTACTATCCTGCATGCTCACATTCATTCCCTGACCAGCTTTTGGGCTACCCCTCGTTAGTCTATTTAGCTATACGCAGAATACATGGTCAACCTACCTGTGAGTGTGAACAGCATCGCCAGCTAGGAAGACTCGGTCATGAACCGAGAACTGTGTGCCGACCCGCTGGCCAATCTGATACGCCGTCCACCAGTCCAACGTTCGGTACGAAATCTTGTACGGCGCCATAATCTTCTGCGCCTCGGCGATGATGGCGTCGGGGTTTATTTTGGAGCGATCCGCGCGACTGCCTGCCTCGTCACCCACTTTGGCCGTCGTAGTGAGCTGCACGTATACGCGCACCAGCTTATTCTCGCGTGGGATGATCATAACGCTGCCCGAGTTGGCAGAGTGAATGGCGCAACGCATGCGAATATCGGGAAAGTCGGTAATGGGAACGATGTCAAGCACGCCCCAGATGTAGTCTGTCGATTCGCCTTCCAGCGTCAAACCAATCTGCTGTCGTGTCCAAGAGTGTGCGCCGTCGGCGCCCAGGACATACTTTGCGTGTACAATTTCTTCCGTGTTGGCTTTTTCGTTCAACTTGCCCGCGGCGAGGAGGTCGTCCGTGTCATCTCTGGCCAAGTTACTCCTGAATAAACCGTCCCGAATGCATTCACCATTCCTTGCCGAAGCACTTTGTTTGGGAGTAGCTTCTTCTTCTGTCAGATGCCGTAATTCCACCGCAACCGGATATGCTGCCTGGTCCTCGACAGCTACCTCGTCAATCGTTAGACTGGTCGGGAGAACACCACGTTCAACCCGGATATCGCTGCACTCTTCTATTGCATCCAAAAAGAAGCGCTCAATGCGCCCTTGATGCAGCACCGCCTGCTGGAACCGGCTCAGACCGGGCGTCGTGTCAGCCATGCGGTCACTGCGTCGTAGAATGCCCGCCTCGTCCGGGTTCCACATGCAGACCTCGAGCATGTGGTTGGACTCACGCCATGCGCGGTGACCGAAGCCGAGCGAGTCCATGATCTCTAGCGTACGGCACTGGAGGCCGTCAGCCTGCCCATTGAAGACCTTGGTGTTGCGCTTGTCGATGATGCGACTGTTGATGCCGCACTTGGCCATCCAAGCAGCCATCATCAGACCGGCCGGGCCGGCACCGATGATGAGAACATCAACGTGGCTTTCTTTAATAAAGGTCATGAAGGTCGCGTTTCTCTGGAAGTAGCTTGAAGCTGAAGAAGGATGCGGGGTAATAGAGTTGCGCTGGGCACGTATATGATTAGTTATATATCTGGAGTCGTACGGTCGGCAATGTGACTCCGGCGACCGGCATCGATCCCCTTGGTAACCATCAGTCAGGACTTAGAAAGGCGAGTCTGTGGCAATTGGTGACTATACGATCAGTCAGAGCTTATAAAGCGGCGTGATAGCTACGTGGATACACCTCACCTGAGGGTACCTCAGTAAGTTCAGCTAAGGGTAGCAACCCTTAGGTAAGGTAGCCCTACTAATTCTTAATATATATACTATATATCTTAGTATAATAATATTCTATATTTATATTAAAGTAACTAGTTTATAATTAATTATACTATAATAGGAATTACTATATAATTAATTATATAGGTATATTATACTAGAAATTAATTTATAATTAATTATACTTAGTAGGAATTACTTTATAATTAATTATATTATAGTAAGAATTACTTTATAATTAATTATACTATATTAGAAATTATTTTATAAAATTTAAAAGGGAATTTATTCTTAATTTATTTATTTTATTTAATTAATACCTTTTTTATTTATAAACTACTTTTAAATTAATTCTTTATATTAAATAGGAATTAATTCTTAACTAATTATATTTTAATTAATTAAGAATTAGTTTATAACTAATTCTTAAATAGCTATAATATTATTATTATAAATAGCCTAAATATAGTAATAAAGATAATACTATTAGCTAAAATAAGTTATAATTAATTAGTAATTAATTAGAAATAAATAAAGAATTAATTTATATTATAGTTAATCTTATAGTAACTAGGGTATAGGCTAGTTATTAATAAAAGCCTAGTATTTTAATATATATATACCTAACTTAGGTTCTTATCTAGTTAAAGTAGGATAGGAAATTAATTATAAATTAGTTAAAAAGGGATTAATATTCTAATATATTACTCTTACTTTATAGTAAAAGGGGGGGGGGTAGGAAGTAGTAAAGGCCTATTAAATAAATTAATAGGTAATTAGGAATTAGTTTAGAATTAGTTATATACTAAAGGGTTTATCTTATTATAGTAAGTAGTTATAATAAATAGAGTTAGGTTAATAGTTTATTAGTAAATTAATTAGTAATTATTTTAGAAATTAATTAAGAATTAGTTTATTTATATTATTATTATTATTATTATTATTATTATTATTATTATTATTATTATTATTATTATTATTATTATTATTATTACTCTAAAGAATTAGTTAGTATTTAGTTATTAATTAATTTATAATTATTTTCCTATATACCTTATACTACTTACTATTATTATTATTAATATTCTATAGAATTAGTTAGTATTTAGTTATTAATTAATTCTTAATTATTTTACTATATACCTAGTTATTATTACTATTATTATTACTAGAAGTCTTAAAAGTATCCTTACTAGTAAAGGAGTTAGGCTATAGAATTAGTTAGTATTTAGTTATTAATTAATTCCTAATTATTTTCCTATATACCTTATATTATTCTTACTTTAATACTATTATATCTTTAGCTTATAGAATTAGTTAATATTAAGTTATTAATTAATTTAAAATTAGTTTCTTATATATCTTATTTTTTAAAGGCTTCTTTTTCTCCTCCTAATTATTATTAGCCTATTATAATTAATTAAAAATTAATTCTAAATTATAAAGTAATTATTAATTACTTACTAGGGTAAATACTAGTATTTAAAGTAAAGAAATAAAGCTAAGGTTAGCTACCTTAGCTTTATATAGGGTATTAAGTAGTAAGGACTTATTAATAATTAATTAAAAAAAAGCTAAATAGGTTAGTAAGTAATTTTAAACTAATTAAGATTAGTATAAGTAATTCTTAATTAATTAAGAATATAATAAGAATTAATTAGGATTAGTAAGAATAATTCTTAATTAATTAGGAATATAGTAGGAATTAATTAGGATTAGTAGGAGTAATTCTTAATTAATTTAGAATATAGTAGGAATTAATTAGGATTAATATAAGTAATTCTTAATTAATTTAGATTAGTATAAGTAATTCTTAATTAATTTAGAATATAATAGGAATTAATTAGGATTAGTATAACTAATTCTTAATTAATTTAGAATATAGTTAAGAATTAATTAGGATTATTATAACTAATTTTTAATTAATTAGGAATATAGTTAAGAATTAATTAGGATTAATATAACTAGTTAAAAATTAATTAGGAAATACTTACTAACTAATTTAGTCTTTTTAGCTAAATTATTAGTATTAGGGTACTACTTCTTTACCTATATCTTATATACCTCTATATAGTAGTAGTAAAGGTTAGAATAGTTTAAAAATAGTATATTCTAATTAATTATAAATTAATTATAAATATTAAATTAATTCTTAATTACTTACTATAAGGTATAAGTTATTATCTTTATACTAGTAATAATAAACCTTACCTAGGGTAAGGATTATATAGTTACTTTATAATTTATTTATAATTAGTTTAGAATATATTTTAAAACTATTTTATAATTAATTAAGAATTACTTACCTTATTCTATTATAGTAGTAGGAAATAGCTTATTAATAGCTACTTCCTACTATTAAAGTAGGCTTTAAAAGTATTAGAATTTATTATAAATTAATTTATAATTAATTATTTAGTAGGAAATAGACTATTAAATTATTATTATATAAGTTAAAGGAATTAATTCTAAACTAGTTATATAGTAATTTAGAACTAATTAGAAATTATTTATATATATAATTACCTTACTAAGAAATTTTTTTTAGCTAATAAAAGTATAAGAAATACTAATACCTATAGTATTAAGAGTAACTAAGTTATAAACTAACTAAAATACCTAGAATATATTAACCTACTAGGGTTAATAAATTCTTAACTAAAACTAAGAAAACTAGTAAGTAACTAGCCTATAAATATATTACTAAAGGCTAGCTATTTATTAAAATAGTAACTTATTTACTAAAGTAGGATTTTTAACTAATTAATATATTAGAAAGTTAATACTATATAGAAGTTATTAGGAATTAGTTTTAAATTAGTTCTAAATATATTAAAAAAGACTTTATTATTAAATTTAAGTATTAAGAGAATAGAATATAGAAGAAGTAAGATACTAAAGTACTATAAGCTTTCTTCTCTTTATATTTAATAGAATCCTCCTCTTTTCTTTATAAAATTAGTTTATTTTCTAATTTTATAAGATTTTCTTTACTATATATACTATTTATATATTAGTTTTTAACTATCTATATATTAGTTATTAACTATATACTTATTAAATATAAATAGTATTAAAAAGTAATTTTAAATTAATTTAGAATTTATTAGAATAGACTTTAATCTACTTTTTTATTTTATTTTTTATTTTATTTTATTTTATCTATATTAAGATTAATAAGTATTTAGAATTCTCTATTTTTTTAAGGTAGTATATTCTTACTTAGTTATAAACCTTAAAGTAATTTTAAAAGTTCTTATAATTTATTTATAATATATTTCTAACTAATTTTTAGAGTTTTTCTAATAAGTAATAAATACTTTCTAAACTACTTCTTATTTATTTTCTTTTTATAATAAAAGATACTATTTATACCTTATATACTCTTACTAGGAATATTAGTTATAAATTAATTACTAATACTTCTAGATTACTAAAAGGTATATTATCTATTTACTAAGTTATTTTAACTTTATTATTACCTAAATACCTAGCCTTTAGGTAATTTAGAACTACTTATATTATTTATAGCTTATTTATATAGTAGTTTTAAACCCCTTAGAAAGATATATATAATAAAGGGAGTAATTAGTTCTTAATTACTTACTAACTAATTCCTAGGTTTAATACTACCTTTACTATAAATAACTACTTAAGTTAATATTTTCCTATTTATTTAGTCTTTATATATAATATATTTTTAAGTATATAGGGGGTAAAGTCTATTTATTATATAATTAAATAGAATATTTATATTACTCTATATTACTTAAGTTATTTAAAGACTTAGTAAAGAAGTAATAATAAAGTACCTTTATAATTAAGTAGGTATATTAAGATATTATAAGGTAAATAAAGTCCTAACCTATTTAGAACTAGTTCTAAATTAATTAGATATATCTTTTTTACTTCTTAATACTCTAGTTTTACCTATTCTATTATTATAGTATTTAATTAAGGAATATAATATAATCTATTTAATTTAATATATATATTATAATATAGATAACTTCCTATCTAGGTATTTTAGTATATTATTACTTTAAATTAATTATTAATTAGTTCTTAGTTATTTATATAATTAAATACTTATAAGTATTTCTTTTACTTAAATTTCTAATAATTACCTAAAAAGTCTTATTTTTATATATATTATAACTTAAACTATTAATTATATTAAAATAAGATTTCTATAATTCTCTATAGAGATTCTATTAAAAAGTAAAAGTAATACTATTTTATTTATTTAAATATAATTTATTATTAATATTATAATAAATATAGTCTTTAATTATTTATATTTTAATTAATTATAAATTAGTTTAGAACTACTTAATAAGTAATAGTATACTATTTTATCTTTTATATAAAGTAGTTTTTATATTCTTTATCTTATAATTAGCCTAGGTAAATATAATTATTTTAATATTATATAGATTATATTCTTATATACTAATTCCTTTATTAAAACTATTTTTAGATATTATAATATAATTCTAATATCTAGCTATAACTTTTAAGAATACTATAATATCTTTAGGTATTATTTTCTTTTTATTAAGTCTAGAACTAATTTAGAACTAATTACTAATTACTTCCTTTAGTTTTATTATTTTCTAATAAGTATATTTAAATAATATATACTTATTAGGCTATAATACCTTTATTAATTTACTTAGTTCTATTATATTATAATATAAAACTATTTATAATTATTAAGA